AACATCCCACACTTGACAACCGCAACAATCGAGAATACCTCGTAGAAAGTCGGCACAACCCCCACCTCAGTCTGAAACAACCATGGCCTTACGCACCCCAGTGAGCAGCACGGAACGACTCGAAACACCTAACATCCTAGTCCCAGAGAGCGTGCAATGAACACGACCCTCAGGTAAACACTGCCGGCAATTTTTTCTGCCTGCGTCGGCCTTCTGTGAGAGGCTCAAATCTCAATATACCTGAGGCTAGGGCTAGGGGTTGGATCCGGTGACTTCCTGGAACGTCCCCGTTCTTCTTCAGAGTCAGACAGATCCAGTGCCCAACGCCAAAGCCAAACTTCAGCTCTTGAAGTCCCTCTCTACCTCTAAGCCCCAACTCAGCCCGAAGCTCATAGGGTTAGAAGTTATGTTTTCCGTTCGTTTGGATCTTGCTTGAGAGGGTCGGGGTGTCAAGAAGTACCAAACCCACCAGAATATGACTTTGCTCCCACCTTGGTTGGAGATCTCTTGTGCAGGTTGGGGTGTGGGTTTGGATGATCAGGGTTATAGGGCTCTGGACCTTTTCGGGTTTAGGATTGACACGGATGTAAGCAGAGTTTTCAGGCGGGATCTGCCGGAACATAAGAGCTCGCAGGTGCTTTCTTCAAGCAACTGATGGAGGCTACATTATTTGGGGGCCCCGATAATAAGGATCCCTTTTTTCGGAAACTCCCATTATACATATATATATATATATATATGTGTGTATGTGTGTGTGTTAAAGAATAAATAAGCTGAACACGAAGGGCGTCACGACATGGACCAGAGAAGTGAAAAACCTTCGTCTGCCCGCCGGCGTCAGGAAGTAGTAGAAGGCCTAAATGGTTACTGCTGCTGTTTTTTGGGGTCCTTATTATAAATCTAGTATAATGTACCCCAGAAGCCCATCGTAATTATGAAGGCCCCGACATTTCTGAGGAGACGCTCTATTTCTGCCTGATATCGACATGGGCCCTGTGCTCAGTTGAAAGAGAGAACTCCTGGAGCTAGCTTCGGGTTGATTCCAGAACTCTTTGGGTGATTGTGAATCTGCTCAGCATTGAGGCATAGCTTAAGCATGTAGTAGAAGAGTTTGTTATACGGACGGTGCACAAAGGATCGTGGGCCTTACAAGTAGTAACTAGGATGTAGACTGCTCTGCCGCTGCCACTGGTGCTACTGCTGCTGCTGCTGCTGGTGCCGTCGTTGCTCCATACTACACTTACGATGCGTCCTGAAACAACCAGTCTTACCAACTACTACTTCTCCTTATCCCTCTAATGCTCCTTCAGCAACAGCAACACCACCACCAACAACAACAGCAACACTGCAGCTATGCCAGGCTTGTCCGAAAATGAGGTATCAAAACAGCAGCAACAGCAACAATAACAACACCAGGACTCCTGCTACTGCTACTGCTCCTGCTACTGCTACGGCCACGGCCACGGCCACTGCTGTTGCTACTTCTACTGCTGCTGCTACTGATACGACGACAACTGCCACTGCCACAACAGCAACAACAACTACTCCTCCTGCTGCTCCTGCTGCTGCTGACACTAGTACTTCTACTACTTTACAGTTTTTTTGCTGCTGCGTCTGCTCGTATGGCGACATGCTACGACGACGACTGCCGCCACTACTTCGGCAGCCACAGCGACTTATCCTTGATGCTAGGGCCCAGCTAGGGTACGAGCATTCTACGCGCAGTTCTCCTCTTCCGGTCTCTCTGAGTGTACTTATGATCCAGGTCGTCTTCGCCATGTGGCATGGAATTCAGCCCTGGAGTCTGGGCTCTCGGGAATGTAGATGGTGGTTCATTTGGAAATCGTGTTGAACTTCCGTGATCTAGCAGTTTCATTATGCAGCCCTCTCACTTTCGGGTGGCGTTGCGGTCAGCCTTTGACTGAATATCCAACGCTGGGTTTAGGGCTTCAGGAGTCTACACGCTTTGTGCTTAGCGGTCCATGAGTCAGTATCACTTTTGCTCTCATCATGCCACCATATTCATAGTCATAGCCCGTGCCCTATTTCCTTTATTTCGCCATCATCAGAAAGGTCGTTGTCATGACGACCTTTGGGCAAGCAGAAGTTCTTGCTGATGTGGTTGCAACGTTAAGACGAGAGAGCCCGCGGTAATGTCCGAAGCTACATAGACTTTGTCCGATTCTTGTATAGTCGCAGCAAGACCACCTGCCGGCTTGCTGCTTCTGGACTACATTCACCATCACTGCCAGGAGAAATGCCACGAGTACTAGTAGTATTGTACATAGAGGTATCAGAGCAGCAGATGCAGCAGCAGAAGGAATAGTGGTAGTGGTCGTAGTCGCGGTCGTCGTAGTCGTAGTCGTAGTGGTAGTGGTAGTGGTGGTAGTAGTGGTGGTAGTAGTAATAGTAGTAGTAGTAGTAGTAGTAGCAGTAATCGTAGTAGTAGGGTTAGCAGTAGCAGGAGCAGCGGGCCGCACATCGGCGAAGTGGCAGGAGTACTGTGTACCACCACTCACCACTCACCACTCACCACTCACCACTCACCACTCACCACCACCACCACCAGCAGCAGGACAAGGGCAAGTAGCAATAGGCCGACGAAGCAAGAGCCAGTCCAGGCCACTCGTGCGAGGAGCTGATCGAGCTTTGCTCGAAGAGGTGCCAGGAGCGGGGAGCTCGAGAAGCCTGGCTGTTTCACGGTTAGAGGTACGTGCTTTCTGGCGAGCCCTGGTAGGGGTAGGGATGGCTTTCGCCATTTGGTTTTTTCCAAGTCCCCGGCTCGGGGTTTGAAAAGTGGTTTCAGGCCCCTAGACTGGGAGCTTGAGGGTGCACGGTTCTTGAAATGATTTCAGTACCATTTGGAGTAGCTTTGCACGCTGCTCTAGCATATGCCACTGAGCATCTGCATCCTGGCATGCATGCAGCCCTCCTGGATGATGCTTCCTGTTGCATCGCCCACTCTCTTGCGGACCGAGTTTCAAGTTGATGCTTGAACTCAATGGTTGAACGAGCCTTCCAGTAAAGCACCTTCCAGTAATGTAGGGGCATAAGCAGTTACCTATACTATTTTGGGGTTCCTTATTGTATTTATAGCATAATGCATTCGGGCCCCCATGTTATGGTTGTCTGTGCTTCTGTGACTCTGTGATACTCTGTGGCCCTGACCAGGTGGTGCATCATGCGTTGCTGGCATTACCACTCTCTTAGTCAGGAGCAAAACGGGGCCTACACAAAGAGAACGCTAGCACATGCTCCGCATCAAGAACTTTACCTTAAGCTTTTACCTCCATGTAGCTTGTACGATGTATGCCTCACCAACAGCCTTTTACATGCCGAGCCTCTGGGCCGTCCTGAGCTTTCGACTCATCCGCACACGAAGCTCCCGAGCTGTGCCTGCTTAAAGGTTTACGGGATTCAGTAACTATGGTTATATGTAAGGCAACTACACTTTTAATTGGATATAACCCCAGTTTGGGTACTTATAACATTATAACTGTACTTTCTACAGTAAGTCCCATTAACCTCCAAGTGCACCCAGTCACTCTTCCATCAAGCTGGTGACGTCGAACAAGGACCCGACGTGCAGCATCTTTTTGGGGTTGCCCTCTTGGACCTTGCAATGAGTAGAGAAGGTCCAGAAAGCACGGGGTCTAGGTGCCCATCTGTCACCAGGTAAGGCTGGAGGCTGAAATGAGGACATGGCCTCGAAAGAGTGAAGCTCTTTAGGAGTCTTCTGGAAGCAGACCCTTGGTTGACTTACCTTTGGTTAGTAGGGAATGGAGGAATGGGGTACAATCAATAACTGCTATGACTACCATTCTTCCATTCCCTACTAACCAGTGGTAAGTTTAGGGTCGGGGCTCGGGCTTAGGGCTTGGGGTTCTGGGAAGTGCTCGGCTCCACGTAGAAGTCGGCTCAAGGAGGTGGAAGCTAGGTCGGCCGGCTGTACAGCACCTGGGGTCCCCTACTCCGGGCTGACTGCGCACAGCATGTGGCGCATCATCCTCCCGGTAGCACTGGCACTGCCGTCGCTGCAGGTGCGGATGGGTCTTTTGAGTGGCCTCGTAGGACACAGGAGGGCCCGGGATTGGTTTCTTTTGGGAGAGTATCTTTTTGCAAGACCTGCCTCCAACCAGTCTCCGAACCCAAGTTTCCGAACACCCCAGAGATCGAATTCATTGCAGCTTGTTTGCAAACACAGAGGCGGGGCTAGGGACGTTTTGACAAATAGATTGATGAACCACATCACTTGGAGGAGTGTAACCTTTCCCCTTTTACCCTATTTGTCTTAACAAAAACACTTTCCGGAAAAGCCCCCTCAAGTCATCCCTGCCTGTTAAACCCAACTAGGGGCATCAGGAGAAGCAGCCAGAGCAGGAGCAGGAACAAAAGCAATAGCACAAGCATGAGCAAAGCAAAAGCAGGAACAACAGCCCCCAAATGTGAGAGCAGAGATAGGAACCCCCCGGCACTAACGGCACGTTTTGAGCTTCTATCTCGGGGAAGGGGGTGGCCCGGCCGGTTTCATGATGCGAGAGGGGAACAATGTCAGAGGGAATGGGTTGAACATGTGAGTGGCGCAAGCTGCGAGATGATCTTCGGCCATAGAAGGTTCACAGAAACTAGGCCCATGTGGGCTCAGGTTGGAGCCCTGTGATATTTTGGGCTGAACACTCGGCTAGTCCTTGCACGACGGGACGCAAAAGCCACATACGCTAGAAGGATGTTCTCCGGAGAAAGGCACTCAGAAAACTGGATCCACTCAGGTCTTGTGCTGTCCTTGCCTGGATTCCTGTCTGTGTCAGTCGGTGAGAAAGGAAACTCGCCCACCCCCCAAAGAAAACAATACATAGCTCAACCCTGAGTCGATGTCTCGAGCCTTGGCACCCTTTGCCTTCTCGCTGCAATCAGTTGCAGCTCCTTCTTCTCGGAGCCGCTTGCATCAAGCTTGCCAATTCTGGCACCTAGATTGCTCCGCAGTTCTGTGAAATCTCGCCATGAGCCTGGCCACGGTGATGCAGCTAGGGTGCTTGGCCCTCATGTTCGGTCTGGCCGATGGCCTTCGAGAGTCCATTTACCAGCATGCGCAGGAAGCCGAAGCTTTTCGTGACGAATGCTGCTGCCTTGCCTTCATGGAGTCCACGCCCACCCAGCAAGCAGAGAGGACTCTGAGCCAAGAGTCGGAGTGCGGAGAGTACAAGCTGCGGCGCCCGGACCGTCCGTTCTGGTACCACAAGTTTCAAGAAGAGTACAAAGCTCGGTGTTGCTGGACGACGGCGTGGTTTTGCAATGACTTCAAGGAGCCCCACAATCGCCATCCCTTCTCAGTTGAGCGACACTCCCACAACCGGTGGTGCCTCAAAAGCTCCCCGAATGGCACTGTAGCCTAAGACCGGAATCTCCAGTGTCAACCTCGGCCTGTCCCTCTTCATGTGCATCATCATGCCTTGCTGATGCTTCCTTTCTGCAAGCCTTCGTCAGGCGGGCAGAATAGGTTGTTTCTGCAGAGGACCGGACGACGCACAGCGCAAGGTGCAGACCGAAAGGTTGTGGTGTCTCAGCATGCGCACCCATTGTTGTACCGCTTGCACTGTTTTAGGTTTCCTGAACTTAGAGACCGGCATGGAGCTGTTGAGAACATCGGGATACCTCATCTAGGGGATTTGTAACATGAAGAGACCATTACGATTTACGATTTCATTCTAGGGCCCCTCCAATTCTCACTTTCGATTGTGCCGAGTGCGTTGACATGTCATGTCGTTCAAGCGTCCATTCTCGCGAGACTTTGGGTCAACTTGTGAGGCGAACGAAATCTCCGTGGAAGCTTTGCTGCAGGCTGAGTGCCGGGTTGATTGAGACCCCGTAGCAGCCTCTGAAAACCTTTGGCGCACGCAACTTCAAATTCGTGACTGCTGAGATTTTCAAGCTTCGCAAGGGAGCCGGCGATAGGCCGACTCGCCACCCCCTGAACAGGCGTTTCCCGCTTCACAATTTCCGCCGCTGCTCTCCACCCTTGCGTGGGCCTCGGAGGTTTCATCACAACGAGGCCTAGCCGGTACGGGTCGGAGCCTCCCAGAAACCCAGGGTTCTTCGAATGTACTCGTAGCGACCTAGGAAGGGTTTGGGTTGTTTTGTGCTGCCCATGAGATCCGTGAGGCCGAGTAGAGCGAACGCTACATGTGCAAGCTGGCCCGATGCACTTAGCTTCATATCTCTGCAGCTGCTCCGACGGCGATTCTGCTGACCGGAGTGATTCAGCAACATATGATGACTTATATACAGCAAGCAGACCTTGATTTGTCAACAAGCCTTTACCTTGAATTGTGCAAAGGTGCCACTGAAAGGTGATCTGCCGCGGCCCTACTGTAGACCATCTGTTAGTGCAAGGCAGTGGAGGAGTTGGATCTAAGGTGTTGCTTTCGTCACCAGGCCATATTCCTTGAACATTTGGGCATTTACAATTCGATACCTCGTCGTTCGTGTGGAGGCTGTGGTTCTGGAGCCCGACACCCGGAACGGAAAGCCAAAAGTCTCAGGGAGCGAAGAAGTGCCGGCGGAAATGGTACTTCACATAAACTTATGTTGGGCTGCACCCTGAGCCCTAAACCAAAGCCGCACCTCAACACCCCAAAGCCCTCAACACCCTGTAAACTGTAAACTTTTTAGTTTAGAAACCTTTAAGACTCTAAGACCCTGAAGCGCTGAGCCCAAAAGGGTAAGTAGGGCCATGTTCGATGCAGCCACAAGGCTCCAGTGCTTAGGCCCCCCGCGTTTGCAGGGGGAGTGGGGGCATGGCTTCTCCGACTCCCTTGGAGCCTTGCTTGGGAAAGCTGTCAACACCCACGTACGTGCATACGTACATACATGCAATCATACACACACACACATTATACGTGCATATATATATACACACATACATACATACACATACATATACATATACAGATGCATATACATATACATACGAGACACATCATACATGTAATTCATATACAGTTACAGAGGTAAGGCTGTGTAGATACATCTACATATATGTATGTATATACATACACACTTATGTATTTGTATACTTGTGTTCAGAGATTTGTATCGATATTTCTTTCTGGATACCAGTTACTGATACTTTATTTTCCTCTGAGGGTTTGTTCACTGCTAACGGCTCTTGTGTTCCGTGTTCCGCCTTTTCAAAACGATTTCCAAGTCCACGAGTTGGGAATCGTAGCGTCTCTTCCGCAGAGTTTGTTAGCTGTCAGGATGGAGGGTCCCAGGACGAAGGAGGGTGAGTCAAACGAAAGCGCGTGTGTCCTTCTGACATCTTCAGCAGCGCAATGCAAGAAACCACAGCAGACAATACATGAATTGCATTCTAGGGTGTAGAAAGCGGTTTCTGATTTGAAAAGCGTCCGGAAAAAAGGAGCTTCTTCGAAAGACCTTCTCGGCTGCAGCTTCTGATGGGCTGGCAAAGAAGTTCGCAGATACTCCCAAGGACCTTGAAGAAGCTCTGGTGTTTTTGGCAGGTTTGGGGCTGTACGAGTCTAAGTGTGTAGTATTACGTTCATTCATCTAGGTTTGTGGCTTTAGATAATTGCATAAGCAGCGTACGGGTTCAATGGGCCCCAGAACCGAGGTAGCTCTTGGAAGTGCAATTTCAGGACAGGTGTGGGTTGGGTTTTCGCCTTGGGAAGTTTAGGGTTCCGCTTAACGGAAAGCCAGACAAGGCACATACAAGTGAATGCAGCCGTCCACGCCACACACACACACACACATGCACATGTACATGCACATGCACATGTACATGCACATGCACATGTATGTGTGTGTCTCTCTCTCTATATATATATGTATGTATATATATATACACATATACATATACATGCGCATGTACATATGTCTGTGTATATAAAATAATGATATGCATACACATGTACATATGTTGGTGTATATATATATACATACATACATACATACATACATACATACATACACACACACATATATATATAGCATAAGCGTACACACAGAGTACACACAGAGTTTCACATGTACATACAGACATGCGTACATCCATACCTACGTAAATACATATGAATGTAATATTGTATATCTTATATATCCATATGTATTACATCATTGTCGTTCTTATAGCCTGTAGGAATACACATGTTGCCATACACGCATGTATACATATATATATATATATATATATATGTACATGCGGGAGCTAAATGTGTGTGTGTGTGTCTGTGCGCATACAAAAAATTTACACATGTGTATGTGTACACAGAACATGCACTTGTGCATACATGCATGCATGCATAGATACATGTAGACATACATCTGCAGGCTCAGCTCGAACTGCAAACCTCTGGCGTGGGTCTCTTTAGTTTGGGCGGACTCTCTTATTCATGTAGACGCCTGGATAATCCAGTAAAGTGTACCCCAAACCCCAATCATTTCCAGTCATGGAGGCCCGTAAAGTAGGGCCCTCATGGTAAGAGTGGCGTGATCTTTCGGGGTTTAGAGAGCTACGTAGATTTGGGAGTTTCCGAAAATTGGGGGTACCTTGTTTTGGGGTCCTTTTAATAAGGATCCTGCTTTTTAGGGTACTATATTAAGGTCCCCTATTTTCGGCGGTGATGCGCACTCCTACTAACCTACGGTTGTCACTTGCTTTTGGGCTTGTCTGTATGGAGTACGCATTGTCCCCAGGGCCTCCACCTCTCCTAGTTGTTGTCCAGTTCTGACGAGTTCCCTGTGGTGCGACATAATCAGCTGGGCGCGTAGCAAAAAAAGTTCGGAAACTCCCATATGTGTCCATTGGTTGAATCTCTCGAGAAGGACCCGTGGAAGCTGAAATACTTCCTCGATCTGAAAGAGACGTCGCCTCAAGCGGCTCCCTGCGTCAAGTGCCCTGAGACCGAGGAATCTCACATGCGGCTTGCTGTATTTATGCGTGCCATGCGCAGTCTTACCAGGTCTTCCTCAGATTTGTTTGCAATATTTCGGATTTTCTTGTACAGCTTAAGCCTTACTGAATCCGACAGCCCGCTATCGCCATAAGAGGCTCGACTTGCTCGCCAAGATGGCACTCTATGCGCCGGAGTCGTGGTATGAGATCGTGACAGGACAGAAAAGTCAGTCAATGAGTGACTGCTAGATCCAAACAGTATATCTAAGTACAGCACGGCCCACATCGCCCGGAGAGCGGCTCAGCACCGAAGCTAACTACTAGTAGTAGTAGTAGTAGTAGTAGTAGTAGTAGTAGTAGTAGTAGTAGTAGTAGTAGTAGTAGTAGTAGTAGTAGTAGTAGTAGTAGTAGTAGTAGTAGTAGTAGTAGTAGTAGTAGTAGTAGTAGTAGTAGTAGTAGTAAAAGTAGTAGTAGTAGTAGTAGTAGTAGTAGTAGTAGTAGTAGTAGTAGTAGTAGTAGTAGTAGTAGTAGTAGTAGTAGTAGTGGTAGTAGTAGTAGTAGTAGTAGTAGAAGTAGTAGTAGAAGTAGTAGTAGTAGCAGTAGTAGTAGTAGTAGTAGTAGAAGTAGAAGTAGTAGTAGCAGTAGTAGTAGTAGTAGTAAGCTTTGACCGCCGGCCTGCCAGTCGCAGGACAGAAGTGTCCGGCAGAAGCCAAGAACGACTACCCCAACATCGGGGTAGCTTTCGACGCCAGCTCTAGATTGCGGCGTGCGGGCATTGAATGGTACCACAACGAACTGACGACGAATCTTAGCTGTTGACGTAGCAGCGCTTTCGGATCACAGATGCTGCATTTCGGATTAGGACTTGGGGGTCGATTATTGTGTGAGTAGGGGAGGGGGTGTTTTATCAAGATATGAAGGCATATCCCATAAGGATTTCAGCAAGCCCAGGAACCCTAAACCCTCAACCCAAAGTAGGAGGGACAAAAACAAACCCCAATTTCAAGGCAATGGATGCAATCTCACGGCGGCATTGTGCCATTCTGCTATCTGCCGGCAACTCTTCAAGGCGGCGCGTCGGCCCTGGTGGAGACAAAGTCCTGGCAGATCGTGCACTCCGAGGCCAAAGCATGAATCAACTTAAGGAATACCGGGGCCTTGAAAATTAGAGTAGGGTTTTCGTGGGGTTCCTCTAGAGGCTTCCGACAGCGTGTGGTACAGGGGCCTGAAGTTAGGTTTTGGGATATACTTCCTCCGACCCCTACATTACTCCTGGCTATGGATTCCCCGAAGTCAACGTGCCCCATCTCCTGGACCCAGGACAAGATACCTCCGCAACCGCCGACAGACTCCCCGACTGTGCGGGTGGTGGCAATCAGCGACACGCATCTCTTGCACCACCTTCTCCCGAAGCTTCCCCAAGGTGCTTTCGGCGTTTAGGGTGCGAACTCAGTCGCAAAGGTGAAGGTTGAAGCACGGGCCTCGCTTCCCGAATGCACGAGCCGAGCAACAAACTCAAACACTGAAGTTATGTGCATAATAACAATTGTTATTATTACTATTATTTACTAGCCCCCGGTTCTGACGGGTTGTGAGAGGATTTACGGGGTCTTGCCGAGGTGGGGGGACACCGGGGGCGGCACTAAGGCGGCTTTTTGCGCCGATGAGCACCCCCCTCCTCGCCCGTATTCCTCCCGTCAGGGCGACAGTGCCTGGCGTACTCTTTTCCTTTTTTCTCTTCCCAAAGGCGCTTCCACCCCTCCCGGAGGTCTTTCGCTTTCCATGCCTCGTGCAAGGTTTTCGTGCTGCAATCCCAGACTCCCCGTCTCGTTCCGAGATTGGGGGTCTGGCTTGTTGCCTTCTTCCACGCCTCCCGTAGGTCTTTCGCTTTCCATGCCTCGTGCATGGTTTTCGTGCTGCAATCCCAGACCCCCGTCTCGTTCCGAGATTGGGGGTCTGGCTTGTTGCCTTCTTCCACGCCTCCCGTAGGTCTTTCGCTTTCCATGCCTCGTGCAAGGTTTTCGTGCTGCAATCCCAGACCCCCCGTCTCGTTCCGAGATTGGGGGTCTGGCTTGTTGCCTTCTTCCACGCCTCCCGTAGGTCTTTCGCTTTCCATGCCTCGTGCAAGGTTTTCGTGCTGCAATCCCCGACCCCCCGTCTCGTTCCGAGATTGGGGGTCTGGCTTGTTGCCTTCTTCCACGCCTCCCGTAGGTCTTTCGCTTTCCATGCCTCGTGCAAGGTTTTCGTGCTGCAATCCCAGACCCCCCGTCTCGTTCCGAGATTGGGGGTCTGGCTTGTTGCCTTCTTCCACGCCTCCCGTAGGTCTTTCGCCTTCCATGCCTCGTGCGGGGTTTTCGTGCTGCAATCCCGGACCACTCGTCTCGCTCCGAGATTGGGGGTCTGGCTTGTTGCCTTCTTCCACGCCTCCCGTAGGTCTTTCGCTTTCCATGCCTCGTGCAAGGTTTTCGTGCTGCAATCCCAGACCCCCCGTCTCTTCCGAGATTGGGGGTCTGGCTTGTTGCCTTCTTCCACGCCTCCCGTAGGTCTTTCGCCTTCCATGCCTCGTGCAAGGTTTTCGTGCTGCAATCCCAGACCCCCCGTCTCGTTCCGAGATTGGGGGTCTGGCTTGTTGCCTTCTTCCACGCCTCCCGTAGGTCTTTCGCTTTCCATGCCTCGTGCAAGGTTTTCGTGCTGCAATCCCAGACCCCCCGTCTCGTTCCGAGATTGGGGGTCTGGCTTGTTGCCTTCTTCCACGCCTCCCGTAGGTCTTTCGCTTTCCATGCCTCGTGCAAGGTTTTCGTGCTGCAATCCCAGACCCCCCGTCTCGTTCCGAGATTGGGGGTCTGGCTTGTTGCCTTCTTCCACGCCTCCCGTAGGTCTTTCGCTTCCATGCCTCGTGCAAGGTTTTCGTGCTGCAATCCCAGACCCCCCGTCTCGTTCCGAGATTGGGGGTCTGGCTTGTTGCCTTCTTCCACGCCTCCCGTAGGTCTTTCGCTTTCCATGCCTCGTGCAAGGTTTTCGTGCTGCAATCCCAGACCCCCCGTCTCGTTCCGAGATTGGGGGTCTGGCTTGTTGCCTTCTTCCACGCCTCCCGTAGGTCTTTCGCTTTCCATGCCTCGTGCAAGGTTTTCGTGCTGCAATCCCAGACCCCCCGTCTCGTTCCGAGATTGGGGGTCTGGCTTGTTGCCTTCTTCCACGCCTCCCGTAGGTCTTTCGCTTTCCATGCCTCGTGCAAGGTTTTCGTGCTGCAATCCCAGACCCCCCGTCTCGTTCCGAGATTGGGGGTCTGGCTTGTTGCCTCCTTCCACGCCTCCCGCAGGTCTTTCGCCTTCCATGCCTCGTGCAGGGTTTTCGTGCTGCAATCCCAAAGCCCTGTCTCGTTCCGAGATTGGGGGTCTGGTCTTGTTGCCTTCGTAGGTCTTTCGCCTTCCATTCCTCGTGCAGGGTTTTCGTGCTGCAATCCCAGACCCCCCGTCTCGCTCCGAGATTGGAGGTCTGGCTTGTTGCCTTCTTCCACGCCTCCCGTAGGTCTTTCGTCTTCCATGCCTCGTGCGGGGTTTTCGTGCTGCAATCCCAGACCCCCCGTCTCGTTCCGAGATTGGGGGTCTGACTTGTTGCCTTCTTCCACGCCTCCCGTAGGTCTTTCGCCTTCCATGCCTCGTGCAGGGTTTTCGTGCTGCAATCCCAGACCCCTGTCTCGCTCCGAGATTGGGGTCTGGCTTGTTGCCTCCTTCCACGCCTCCCGCAGGTCTTTCGCCTTCCATTCCTCGTGCAGGGTTTTCGTGCTGCAATCCCAAAGCCTTGTCTCGTTCCGAGATTGGGGGCCTGGCTTGTTGCCTTCTTCCACGCCTCCCGTAGGTCTTTCGCCTTCCATGCCTCGTGCAGGGTTTTCGTGCTGCAATCCCAGACCCCCCGTCTCGTTCCGAGACCGGGGGTCTCCGCCTCCCGTAGGTCTTTCGCCTTCCAGGCCTCGTGCAGGGTTTTCGTGCTGCAATTCCAGACCCCCCGATTAGGGGTCTGGCTTGTTGCCTTCTTCGACGCCTCCCGTAGGTCTTTCGCCTTCCATGCCTCGTGCAGGGTTTTCGTGCTGCAATCCCAGACCCGTCTCGTTCCAAGATTGGGGGTCTGGCTTGTTGCCTTCTTCCACGCCTCCCGTAGGTCTTTCGCCTTCCATGCCTCGTGCGGGTTTCCGTGCTGCAATCCCAGACCTTCCGTCTCGCTCCGAGATTGGGGGTCTGGCTTGTTGCCTTCTTCCACCCCTGCCGTAGGTCTTTCGCCTTCCATGCCTCGTGCAGGGTTCTTGGCGCAATCTCCGAGATCGGAGGTCTGGGTTGCTGCTTATGTCCGCACCTCCCGCAGGTCTCTCGCTTTCTATGCCTCGTGCAGGGTTTTCGTGCTGCTATCCAGGGCGTCGTCTGGCTTGTTGCCATCTTCCGCCCCTCCCGTAGGTCCTTCGCTTTCCATGCCCATGCCGGGTTCTTGCGGCATTCCCAGAACCCCCGTCTCGCTCCGAGATTGGAGGTCTGGGTAGCTGTCATGTCCGCACCCCGCGCGTAGGTCTTTCGCTTTCCGTGCCTCGTGCCGGGTTTTCGCGCTGCTATGCCAGACCCCCGTCTCGCTCCGAGATTGGGGGTCTGGCTTGTTGCGATCTTCCGCCCATTTCGCAGGTCTTTGTCCTTTTCCATGCCCGTGCAGGGTTCTTGCGGCAATCCCAGACCGCCCCGTCTCGCTCCGGGATTGGGGGTCTGGGTTGTTGTCGTATCCGCACCTCCAGCAGGTCTTTTGCTGTTTTCTGGCTGCAATCCCAGACCCCCCATCTCGCTCCGAGATTGGGGGTCTGGCTTGCGGCCATCTTCTGCACCTCCCTCGGTCTTTCGCCTTCCATGCCTGTGCAGGGTTTCGGCCACAATCCCAGACCCCCGTCTCGAGATTGGGGGTTTGGGTTGTTGTCGATATCTGCACCTCCCACAGGTATTTGGCTTTCCAAGCCAGTGCAGGGTTTTCACGCTGCAATCCCAGACCCCCCGTCTCGCTCCGAGACTGGAGGTCTGGCTTGTTGTTGCCATCTTCCACACCTCCCGTAGGTCCAGCATGTTAATCCGGCTCTTCGCGCAGCTTCCTATGTTGTATTTAGGGCTTTCGTTGATTTTTCCGTCTTTGGTTGTTGCCGTCTAGCTTCGCGTGCCTTTCACCCTTTTCTCTGTGGTTGGTTTCTTTTCGTTCTTTCAGTCCACCTCCTCGCACCAACTTTGGTTTGTTTCCATGGTGCGAGATCTGTGTGGTTGTCACCTTTCGCTCGATCCGCAGTTTGTAGGTTTGCTGCTGTTATCCCAATCTCGTGATTGGGGCTCGGGGTAGGTGCCATTTTGCGCATGTTCCGTAGAATCCTCGCCTCCCATTCTCTGTCCTTGGCTTTCATGTGCTGCCAGACCACCCAGCCTCGCGCTGTTTGGGGTCTGGGATCTTGCAATTTTCTGTACTTTTGTCAGCTTCCGTCCTCTTGTAGGCTTCTGCTCCTATTCCAATCCCCTGCCATTCCTCTTCTTATGTGAAACTTGGCTGCATTAGATACACGCCCTCTCGAACCCCTCGCGGAGAGCGGCTATGACGATTACGGAGCCGCTCGGAGATGCTTGGGGGGAAGTGGGTTGCCGGCCGCAGTAACGTCTGTGGGCCACTCCTCCTCCTCCTCCTCCTCCTCCTATTATTTACTAGTATTACTATTTTACCAACAAAGACTGAAGTCGAAAGCCAGAGTTTCTATTGATCTGTGAGAGTTTTTTGCGCACCAGCAGCGCATGCGCATTCTCAATGTGTTTGTCTACCGGGAGTGCTGGTAGCACCACAACCTGCCTACACTGTTACACTTCAAAAACGCCGCAATCCCGAAGCATCATACCTTAAAGGCTTCCAGTGTGTATGCTTTGGTTGGGGTTTGTGTTGACAGGCTGAGTCCTCCCACCTTGTTCCGAGTCAGTTTGCAGAAGCCGGAATCCGTGTGTGCATTGCGCGAGCGCGCGAGTCGAAACGTTTCCAGGTGATCTTCTGATACACTGCGGAGATCTCAGCTACGAGGAGTCGCGATCACAGGATGCCAGGGAGTTCGATGAGAAGTGGCAGGACATCAGAAACCCAAGCCCGAAGAATTTAGGGCTGTTTGAATCATTATGGAGGGACAGGATCCTAACTTATGCAGCTGGGCTTTCAGGGTAAGTTGCAGGATTGGGGGACGAGACCTTCAGAGTCAATGCAGTCTTGTATAAGACCCGCCTTCTGGCCGGGTGCATGCGAATTGGATGTTATGTTTACCATGGCGACTGTTTGCGTCTCTGGCTGTTGGGGGACAGTAAGACTCTGCCATTCGTGGCATTGTTGTAGGCACTGCGATGTAATCACGATTCACCTTCGGAAGTGGCTGCAAGGTTTTCGTGCGGATCTTCTCAGCTCCCATAATGTGAGGGTCGGAGAAATTGGGAATACGACCTTCCGGAGCCGCATACTTAAGGGCCCCAGATGACGGAATCACTCTTTTTCCTTTTGTTGGATGCCTTGAGCCTTCTTTGAGCGTCAGAAGCAGCTGAAGATCTGCGATGCCGAGTACGTCATGAACTTGCCCAACAGCTTCAGCGGGGCTTCGTTAAGGGTTCAGGATACAAAAAGCCCTTATTATAGAACCCTTCCTTGAGCGAGCCCTGCTCTAACGAGCAAGGACCCACTGGGTTCACTTAACTCGAAGCTGCATCCGAATTCCATAAACCATAGGCAAAGGCTCGATCCCCCAGTCTGACGGAAGCTTTGCATGAAGCCCCGATTTCTCAATCGTCGCTGACGCGGGGGAAGGAAAGAGAGGGAGAGGGAGAGAGAAAGAGAGTGTCCCTTATAAGCTCGTCTTGTCCTCACATCCCTCCTCTGGTTGTCCAGAGAGTAATCAGTTACCACCTAGCGACGCACAATAAATGTGCGCACACCTGCCTCGTGCATCCTGTTTTTCAATAGCTGCCACAGCTGCGGTTTCCGCCGCAAGCACAGTGGTCATGCAGTGGTGTTCGAGGCATATGCTTCTTAGACACAAAACATCTTCATTCCTTGTCGAGATGAGGCGTGAAGGGCACATCATTGATGGGCTTGCCGCACGTGCACCAAAAGAGGGGAACTGCTTTCGTGCTGCTGCATTACCACCCTCACGCAGCTTCTGGTAGGGGCCCCTTCGGTACTGCAGCTCGCCACACTGTCTGTTTCAAACGGATCGACTGGTGTCTTGTTTACTTGCTTGTTTGTTTTGCTTGTGTGTGTGTGTGTGTTCGTTTGCAATCTTCTTTGCGTTGCAAACTGCTGCGTTGAGCCCTGCCTGTCCGAATTTTCCTGGACGCGGGCAGGTCTTGTGCTCTTTCGGATGCCTGTTGTGTGCTTGGATTTTAACAGTTCTGGTCGCAATGTGTGTGAGCAGTGGACTCTATAGTGGTTCGGCACGACTCCCCTGATCGATCTCGTCCTTGGATAAGCTTGGCAGAGAAAGGTGGGCAGTTTGATCGCCATGCAAGGAGTTGGGCGAGAATTTCCCCGAGTTCCTGAAGCTGGGTTTGAGTTGAGGAACTCAGTTTAAGTCACAGCAAGCAGTGGCATTTACATCTTCTTGCACCTTTTTGACACGTCCCGCCTCTTTCCAAAACCCCTAGACACCCCAAAAGGCCACCCTTGTGAATCTAAACTACCCTAGACCCTGAACCCTACACCAAACCAAGCAAAAAGCTTCCTAAACGCCTAGGAAGTGGTTTGAGTGCTCCGGGCTCGCAGCGGCCAAAGCCTTGCGATGGCTCGGAAGCGAGAGCCGCTTCGAGCACAGGGTGCTGCGGCCAATCTCTTGGGGGGTACTTGGAATATTTTTTATTCTTTGGTTCCTATAATCCCTAAGAAACAGCTGAAATTAGGATTTTGCTAGGGGTCTAAGCTCAGCACACTTAGGTGGAGTTTCCGAAAATAGAATGTAGTACCCTAAATAGTAGGATCCTTATTATAAGGACCCCAAATAAGGTATCCCTAATCTTCGGAAACTCTCATTTAGGGTTCGGGGCGATAGTTATATCGCTATAGTTGAATCACTCTACGATATATTATACGTATACACATACTCAATAAGGGGCGATAGTTATGCTACTTGTATACTGCAATCATTCTATGGCATTCTATGGTGTACAACAATCGCACCACGACCTACACTATTGGTCGTTTCTTTGGTCTTTCAGTCTTGGGGTCATATAGATACGTTATTCATTACGGATCCAAGGGGCCCAGCATTCTGACAGTCTCTGCATGTGTCCGCGCCTGGTAGAAGGAACAGAATTCTTTCAGCCTGCTTCCCCTGGGCATGAGCGTAGTTGTAAAGGTCGCATGGCTGGGCCATCCCTCGTTCAGCTTTTACCCTGCTCCTACGAAGGTGCTGGTGGCTGGAAACCATGACTACATTCTGGAGTGCATCGGGGAAAGGAATGCCCAACTACTCTGCAAAGCCTTCGGTGTCGACTGCTACCTTCACACAAGGAACCCTCCAAAAGACCTCCACTTCAAGTCCGGCTGCAAAGTCGCAGTGCCTGGGCCTACTCTGGTTTTCCGCATCGATCCACCACATACACACACCGTTAAGACCCTGAGCGTCCTTGAGATAACTTATGATAACTTCCACCAGAACTCTGCTTTGGCGTTCGCGTGCATATTTTCAAGCCGGGCACCAGAGCTCTTCTTCTACGAAAGAACCTGAAGCCTCAATCCGTCGAATCCCATCCCGATACTCGACAGACAGCTCATCACACTTGTAGCATGAGCAAGGATTTCATGATGCATAAGAAAAAGCAAGATTGTCTTTCTGCAGGTGATTTCAAAATGCACCTGAAAGCACTGCCAACATGACGGCAAGCAGCCGGAGCAGCAAAGCCACTCACCAGCTCACAACGAGAGTCAGAAAGAGCAGGGATGGTAGTACTGCAAACCAGCGATGTCATCACGACCGTCACCCGCTTTACCAGTACCGTCACCAGCATCACTTCCACAATCACAACTCATAACCCATCATGGCAGCACTGCTGAAGAAGTCGTCTGTGTCGTCGGCACAGCGATTTCCATGCCACGGCCAGTACAAGGACTTGTCTGATTCTTGCTGCCAGCACAACCATCAGCACTACCACACCACTGCTACACCAGCGACTGCGGCGACGGCAGTCAAATGTGCTTACATTGGAAGTGCTGATAAGATGCTTGAACCACCTGCAGTAAGTCACTAGTGATCAACGTTCAAAAGGCCTCCAAACCCTAACCTCTGAACCAACCAGTAAACCCTTTAAGCTCCAGAAACTCTGGCGAGGCATCCCCACCCCCTCCCCTTTTTTGCAGGTCTGGGGCTCAGGAGTCTCCGCCAAAGCAGGGGTTGGAGGGCAGCGCGCCATCCAGTCCGGAAACGTGGCTTTCGTCTATGACATGGAGGTCTGCCCAGCTTGATCCTGTCCTGGCAGTGAGGTTTGCTCTTTCCCACAGGAATGTGGGTACGGCTTGAATGCTTTGTGATTTTTGATGCAACACATCCCAAAGCTCGAAGAGCCCCAGCCTCCACAAGAGCCTTGAAATTCGCCGTGCAGGCTGGGGAAAGTCAGTTTCGTGAGGAGACCGAGCATCTGGACGAAGGGTCGGCAGATATCATTGCGACCAGTCCTGAAACCTGAGAAATTAGAATACCACCCCTCGCACCCCGAAGAGAAAGCTATACCCCCCCTTAGAACCATAATAACATAACATTTTTAATCTGCTGAGGGGTGATAAGGGTGTCTTTTCGGTGGGCTGAGGACTTAAGCGGAGTTCTGGGTCGAGACTGGTGGGTCGAGGGTTCAGACGTGAAGCATGGTGTGGCACGGCGCGATTGGATACATTGGCGGTCGGATCTTGGGTACTGCCCCCACTCAGTAACAGTTGGATAATATGCATAATACAGATATATAGGGCCCTTAATATATATATATATATATATATATATATATATATATATATGTATGTAGTAGCCCTAGTCTGGTATAGACTGTTACTGTATGGGGGCCGTACCCAAGTCGGATCGATCAAGACCTCCTGGGCGTTCCGGATAGAGAAAGATGGCGCCTGTGCTTCATCTGTATGAGCTTCACTTGTAGCCTCTGCTCACAGCATGCCTATAGCTGAAAACACCCTAGGCCCTAAGCCTGGTTATCGCACCAAGCCCAATGTTTATGGCGCCAATGATATCTGAATGAAGGTGACGCATGGACCACCAGCCAATGCGCTCTACGGGAAGTCTGGCCGGGTGCTAGAAAGCATTGCGGAGCTGGTGAACTTCGTGAAGCCGACACTCTTTCTGTGTGTCTGAGACGATTTGGGATGGATCAATATGATTGATGCAGTTCGTGTCTGCTGTAAGGAAGTGAAATCTTGTCTGTATGGCTCCGAGGGTCTAATATTTGTGGAGCACCCCTGCAAGAAGTAGACATCTTTTGCCTTGAATCCCGGTGGGTTAAGAAAGAAGGAGTATTTCAAGAATGGAGTAGTTTCCCGATCAGAAATTGTGTCGCGTGCTAAACGAATCTGGCCCTGCCATTACAACCCGCCATGTCGAAAGGGAGCGGACAGGATGTCAGTTGTTTCACTGCTGTGTTTTGCAGAGCCGCTGCTTTTTTTTGCTGCGTCTGGCCCGCTGCTCTTCTAAACTTGAAACCCACTCCGTCAACTTCCCTGCGGATTCTCAGAACTCTTCGTGTCTCTGCCTGAAGGCAACCCTCAGCAACCCCAGGCCGTGTGATTCTTGTGGGCCTAGGTGGCCACGAGCACAATCCGGACAACTGGAAAATAGAGCAGAAGGTGAGACGGCTTGGGATATAGATAGAGCGCGACTCGATTTTTCGGGCTTGAGATGGGGAGCTTGATGTCAGACATCCTTTGTGGCTCTCCACCGTGACAGTGCACCATACAACTCGACACCCTGCACATAAAGAGGGGCCTTTACTATAGCACCCTCATAGATCCCTTATAGTAACCCTTGTAGGCCCCTTTAAAGGCACCCTATTCTAAAGAACTAGGGCCCCCTGGCAGGTGGTGGACATGGGCGGAGGAATCCTCGGCGTTAACTGCGCCTGCACAGGGCGATGGAACCAGTTCTGCGGCATGCCCTTTGTAGCTCCTGGTCTGCTACCCTTGCAGGGGTATAGACATACATCACATACATGCGTACGTACATACATACGTCCTCACTTTGCCTACCTACTTACTTGTGTGTGTATGAATACTAGTACCAGTTAACATAAGCACGCGCATACACACACACACACACACACGCAAGCCTTTGCAGCATACTGAAAGGATGCAGCTTCTTGGGCCAGAGAAGTCGACAACTATGGCCCCAGTAAGCCTGTCAAGGCTTCTAGCAAACTTGTTTGGGTTCATGCACTTCTGGTCCTGTTCTGCTAGGATGGGTTCCGATGCTTCGCATGCTTACCAGTGCTTCAAGATGTAATATGTGAACCTTAACCAATCTAGCGTTTTTGTTGAATGTAGTTGCTGTTTTTTGAATGCAGTTGCGGCCAAGTCGACCCCAGCACAAAACAACATCATTGTGTCATGTGACCCGTGGCTAGGCAGTTGAAGCGTGGAAGTGAGTTTGCACCATTTTGTTTGTCTGGACATCACCAGCCTATTGAGCGTTTCACCCTCGTGCCAGAGCAGTAAAGCCCCCCCCCCCCCCAGCCAACACAGAGATCCACACCCCATGCCCGTACAAAATTAAAGATGATGTGGCCGGCTGTAAGCCAAAAGCTTCAGGCTTTCCAATGCCCACAGAGGACCAGGAAGCCTCGAAGCCCTTGCATATAGAGTGCCTAGTCTAAATGCTTCCCTTTTGAAGTCCTGCAACAGCAACCCCTCAACCCTGCACCCTACAACACCTGAAAGCCTGAAATCCGCGATTGCCTTCCTTGAGGTTGATATCCCTGCCCGGCGGACGGCCGACCCTGGCCCTCAGGGCCTTTGTTCTGTCATACGGCAAGCGTGCGGTTACGACGGTGATTGAGATCTCTGTCGAGCCTGACACTAACAAGATGTAAGGGTTGAAGCATTGACTGCACTTGAGCTGATGTATAGGTCATTTAGCCTTTGCGGTCAGGCCGACAGGGTCTCAGCCAAGCAAGCCCTAGGCCTACACCTTAAACTCTACAGCCTAAAACCCTGAAGCCAACTATAAGTCCCCGCCTTAGGTGGAAACCCTAAAGTAGCGGCAGGCTCAGCGTCTCACCCACGCATTGGACCAAGATGGCTTCCGGGATCTGTGTTGATTGGCGGTACCCTTCTTGATGCCAAGACCCGCCCTACTCATCGTTAGCATGGCTTGTTCCGCAAGCCTGCCTCATAGCATAAAACCGGCCTGAGCTGTTCTGGATCCGATCCCGATATCTCGAGCGATCCTTGCGTGGACGCAGCTCCGTGATTGACGGCGCAAAAAGTGGCTGCTTACGCGACATGTGCATGTCTTTAGATCAGTCGGGGCATCCTTTCTCTCGGCCTAGGTTTCCAGTATACTCTAGTCCCACGCTCCGACCGTCAGTCAGATTCGTTGGCACTGAGCTGGAAGACGGGTAGTTAGAGAAGCTTCTAACGTCAGTCTGCGTCGATCGAGTATGCAGGCTGTCAGGCACTTGCCATTCATCCTCGTCAGCTTGATGCCTAAAAGCTTAAATGCAGCGCTCGCAAGAACCGTCGTACTTAGGTCCGGTGGACCAGTCGTTGCTGCGCAGTGGTCTGGCGCAGTTCGTTTCGACGGCACCATGATAGGCATCACACTGAAGGTCGGGCAAGCGAATAGCGAAAGCGTTTAAGTTCTGATGGGGATGGAGCAATGCTCCACAGAAGTGCTTGGCCCAAAACCTTGCCAACCTCATACCCGCTGTCATGCCTCTGTCCGTTCTGTTTGAGCAGGGACCCCCAAAGAGTGCTTTGTGGGTTGGAAGTTTTCTCATGTTTTCTCTAAGGGTAGTGGCTCAGATCTGCACGGAATCGGGACATTTGGTGGGCCATCCCAAGCCCTTACCCATGGGAGAGGGAAAAATATCGGAAAGGGAAGCCGAGAGAATTTGCAATGGTTGCGAACTCCGCTTCCCCTTCCAGATCCTACCATGCATGTGCATGTGGAGCCCTGGCCCATGCTTGCTCATACTCCATCGTTGTGGAGTGCTCAAAGTGCAGGACGTGGTGACTCGCGAGCTAGAAAAAGGGACCTTAGACTTAGATGTAAGAGGCTTGAACACTCCATCTCTCGTGATTTCGAGCATTCGGGTATTTGATTTGAGCAGAGACGGCGCAAAGGAAGACCGCTCTTCTCATGACGGACTGCCAGTCTCGCTCTGTCTCTACAACTATATTTCTTGAGTTATTTATACCTTATTGGAAGCACCAGGGTCACACCGATTCTTGAATTGTTGAGAATTCTGCGGCCGCGGCAGGGCGGCATTGGCAAGTTCTTCTACGACCGTCCCGGACAGAGGAGCGACGGGATGGGGAAGATTCAGATACCCCAAAATTGAGGGTCGTGTACTCAGCACCCCTACCACAGTTTGAAGGAATATGCTGTGACTCAGGGATGTTGTTGGGCTGCCGGATGCGCGCGTAGAGTGGGCACGGGAGTTTGAAATCTGCACTGCGCCTCAGACAAGCGATCCTTGTCGGGGCACTCCGGAATTAGCGATGTCTGCCAGGGAAATCTATGGTTCAGGGCTCAAGTTCCCTATGGTTCAAGGCTCAAGTTCCCTATGGTTCAGGGCTCAAGTTCCCTATGGTTCAAACCTCAAGTTCCCTAGGGTTCAGGGCTCAAGTTCCCTATAATTCAGGGCTCAAGTTCCGAAGTCTTTTACTGCCGAGAAGCATTGAGCCTGTTGCTCCTGCTGCTATGGATTCAGGGATGTAGAATTTGTGTTGGAATTGTTCTTTTGTGGGTGGAGGCTGCGGCGTGGCAGAGGCACCGAACTGATGGGCGTTTGGTGGTGCCACCCTTTAGGTTTCGGGACCGGACCTGATGGTGGAAATGGCCTGAAAAGCGAAATGCCCGCAGCTTCAACGGTCGCAGCGACGGAAGAGTCGCTTGCATGTTCCGGAGTGGGAGAGTACTCCTTGGAACTCTTCAACTGCCAAACCCCATCCTGCAATGCAAACCCTGAGCCCAACAGTTTTCTGCGCCCCTGCAAGAACGCTTTGTCGTACACCGAAATAACCTGAGAAGCCGTCTGCTCCACTGCCAGGTATAGGCTCAACTACACTGCAACCTCGAAGTTGTTTCATCCCGACGGCAAGCTCGAGCAGGACCCGAGGGGCATTTCATGTGACACCTCAGGACAGAGGCCTCAGTTGGGACTGACTGGACTTTGGGTTTGAAGGTTTTCGATGTAAAGGAGTTGCCTCTACTTCAGTGAGTGCTCGGAACTCTCCAACATGACGCAGTTGCAGCCGCTGCCACCACCACCACCACCAACAACAACAACACCACAACAACAACTGCCACCGCCTATACAGTGGCCACGGCAACGACTGCGACGGCGACGAAGAACAACAGCAGCAGCTTGCAGATCTGCCCCAGTCACAGTTTGTGAAACAGTTTCAAGGTGCAGTTATGTAATGTTACATAGTTACAGTAGCCACAAGATTGACGACCGCACCAAGATTTACAGGACTGAACTATGACAAGATATTTGGAGTTAGAGTCACTGCTGCGCCAAATTCCCACATCTGCGCCGTGTGTCTTCCGTTTAGATATCGTCGTCGTCATTTGCTGTCTTTTCGTGTTGGCTGTCAGGGCGTAGGAGGCAACTGCAATGTTGGATGCCTGGCAAATCTGCTTTTGTCAGGATATGCTCGCCAAGAACACCACGATGGCGGCCGCTCGATTTCGCGTGGATTTGCTGAGGAATCAGCTGGAAGCCCGAGCCTCCAATGTAGACCCTGACGGTTGCAGAAGCCGCCCCATCCTATCCTAAATCCTAAAAACCCTATAGACCGCTTATAGATCCCTTAAACGAACCCTACAGGATCCTTTAAAAGGGCCCAGGAAGTAGCCCCAGAGCCGAAGCTGTGTCCAGATGAACTACACCTGGGGTGGCTATGGCGAGAACGGCGCCTGCAACCCATTCCCGAACAAGTATTCGGAGCCTGGCTCGGCTAAGTTTGCGAGTTTTCTGTGTGTTTTGCCTACGGAATTTGGTGCCAAAGCCCGTCAGATACCCACGAAGCACTCAACGTGCTAGCTAGTGACTCAGTCAGCGCGCTCAAGCCTCAACTAGGCATGCATCAGCTAAGTATGTGGTCCTCCCATCCATGTTCCTTTCAGCCCCTGCTCGTGGAACTGCGAATGTGAGCCGAACACCCTGCTTCAAGAGCACTAAACCCTTTTTGCTCCCTTGTCGGAACCCATTATAGAACCCTAAAGTACCCTTAAAAGGAGACCCTGTCCCATGATCCTCAAGTAGTACCAAGGACTTCTTCGGCTGGTTGGCCATCGCCAGCCCTGGAGCGAACCAGACAGTAGAGGGAAAGCCATGCAGGCAGTGGACTGCTCTGCGCCCTGTCGGAAGATTTGGGAGTTTCCGAAAATAGGGAACCCTGGTATAGTACCCTAAATAGTAGGATCCTTATTATAAGGACCTCAAATAATACGGTACCCCCATCCATTTTTAGTAGGATCCTAGAGCCAAGTTTTCGCACCGACTTAGCACCTACGAACCTCGCCTGGCTGTGTCCGAGTTGTGAGAGCGTAAATAGTAGGATCCTTATAATAAGGACCCCACATAAGGTATCCTAGTATCCCCTATTTTCGGAAACTCCCATTTAGTCTTCAAGGTAACAGATCTTAGAGTGCTGGTACTGGTTCATTATGAGTCAAGGCCTTGGTGGGTGCATGGCCTCGAAGCCCCTCTACACAGTACTCCACGCTGTGGCGAAGTGGATCAAGAGCTCCTTCAGAGTTTCAGGGGCTTCGAGGGTTCAAGTCGTAGCCTGCCGAACTGCACACGGACGCAACTTGATATCTGCCCTGGTTACGACGGACTTAGGATACCAAGCCCGATGGGGAAGGCTACTGACGTCAACATGACGGCGTGCGTCGCCGACGATGGCTCTGTTCTGGAAGCTTGGTGCATTGTGGCTGCTGCCCAAGTCGAGCTCTGAACCCGAAACCGTTAACCAAACCCCAAAGCCCTTCAAAACCAAAGCCCCTGCCCGCTTGAAGCCCGTGCTGCTGAGGAATCGTTGGAGTGTAGTTCATGGGCTTTGGAAGTCGGAGACAGGCCGTTTGCTCACTCCACCGGGAACCAGCGGCGCTCATGAGTTCGGATCCTCTTCGACCTAGTCCAAGCCGGACAGAGAGACCCACAGCGGCAAGCGCTCCTTCAGTCCGGAAATCCGTATTCTTTTTGCATCCAGCTCAACTCAGCCCTCAATTCTAACATTTCTAAACACTTCAAAAGCAAATAAACCCTGTAAGCCCCACGCCACCCAAACAGTCGAAAGTCCCAGCGGCCGAACCCGGACAGCGCCCAGAACCCAATGTGCGGATGAAAGAGTTTGCTTAATCTGGATCGGATGAGCCTTGCAGCTTCGCCAACTCCTGAACCCCGCCATGTCCTTTCGAAGAAGGAGGCCAAAAACCTCTAAAACACCAAAATGCTGACCCTAAACCCTAAACTGCGTCTTGCGAGCGTGCGAGTCGAAACACTAAGTTCTCAGGAGATGGTCCAGAAGGTTGGGGGCACGGGCAAGTTCTCTGGAGAGACTTGGTCCAAATGCAGGGCAGCTTCGGTTCTACTTAGGGAGATTTGGGGTTTTTCGCGCGAAACCCTTCGATCCTCACCTCGCCTGAGGAGGGCTGATCACAGTTACTGTATCCATCTTTCTCAGTTTGCAGAGCCGGGGGAACTTGTGTGGGCCGAATCCATGTTCGCTCAAAAGTCCCTTTTCCGAAGTGATGACGACCACGGGCAGACCATACTCATTCCTGAGGATTCCAGATACCGCTTCAGCAACATCACTTTTGGCCACTTGGTGAGCTTCATGCCTTTCGACGTTTCAGTCAGCTGCTTGCAAGGTCTGAGAGGTCGAACACACGGCAGGGGAGCCATGGTGGTACTTTTTTTCTGAGGGCAATGAATTCCAAGATAAGACTATGGTGGGAAGTTGATACTGATTGTGGTGGTGCTGCTGGTGTTTGTGATAACAGGACTGAACATGACGACACAGAGGGCCATGTAGGAATGATGATGCTGTCAGAGGTGGAACGCAATCCAAGCACCACCGTGACAAGCGAAATATAGGAGTCTGAATATGTGCTATAACAGTATCCCCATATAGCCCCCAATATCACTCTAGCACTAGTGCATAATACCTTCAGGGCCTCTAACAAGAACAACAGGTGGTATCCTTGTAGACCCAGTTGTACATTTAAGACCGCTGCATTGGTTGCTCTTCGCCCTCCGCGCAGGTCCCCCCGAAGAGGCGGCTTTCAGGCCTAGCTACGCTTGCGCCGAGAGCCCCGGTGGGGAGAAGCGGAATTCCTTGGGGTTCAAGGTTCGGGGAATCTGCTTGAACACCTCAGCCCACTAATGTAGAGAGAGAGAGAGAGAGAGAGAGAGAGAGAGAGACAGAGAATTTGTTTCGGGTCCTGTTGCTGGTAGCAGTGCAAGTTGTAACTTCGGACGTTGAGCTTCGTCTAGAATTCGCCCTAGACATGTGCTGGGTCAAACCGCCAGATTGGCCATTCTTTCAGATCGACCTCTGAATAGCGGCATCGGACACTACCTGTCTAGCCAGCATGAATTCAGGAAGGGTGGACACGCAACGTGCAAACACTGTGCTCGCCTTTCGACACGTAGTGAGCAAAAAGCAAGACAGCAGCGTATTGCGTGGACATTTTTAAAGTGGTCCGGTCCAGAAAACATAATAACGTAAGTCTCACATGACTCACATGGAGATCCTCTATCCAGTATGTGCATAGTACATCAGTGTAGGCTAGTGCAAGATCGATTGTGGTCGTACATGGTGCATCGAAGCAGTTTGGGCATCCGGAGTGGCGAATACTGCTGAACCTCTCGACCCCTCAAAATGAGAGAGAGGTTTGAGAGGTTAGGTCCACAATCTCATGGGTTGAAGGCGATTTTTCCAGACGGGTGGTGGTCGTCAATATTAGGGTGCCTTTTTGGGTCCTTATTATAGTACGGCACCTAATATTTAGGGCAATGTAGGGGACCCAAAAAATAGTTTTGACAACTCCTCAGATCAATTTGCAAGGTTTTTGAGAATTCCGGTAATAAACCGAGGAACTGGCCTGCCAAGCCTTGCGAAGACGAGGAGGCCCATCCTGGGATCTTTTCCGCTCCAGCGTTTCAGGTGGGGCTTAAGTTTAGGATGTGGGCAGGCGTTCTTCCGGACTTCAGGAGTGTCAGACGGTTTTTGTTTCAACGACTCTAATATATAGAGGCCTTAATAATAACCTGTACTATTTTGGGGATTCTTTATTATATTTGTGATATAATGGGCCCCAGAACCCTATTCTAGTTATTAAGGCCCCTATTTTAGGCCTCCCCTCCGAAAGAAAGCAAGCTCCCGGACTCGAAAGACATTTGACAGGACCTGCCGCCCTACAAAAAGTTGCAAGCTTGTTCCTCTGACTTTTGTAAGTCCAGCGAGCCGGCCTCTGTGAAGAGGTAAAGCCAGGTGGTATGACATCTCTGGGCTTCCGCTGTAATGAGAGCCAACCTCAAAGGCTTGTTGAGCGTTCAGGCAACACAGGCATGCGGGTGGCCTGGGGAGGGGTCTCAAAGCTGAGGGTGTTATTCTTTTGGGAAGGGGGGGCAACCGGGATTCTCACCGAGGTTGTTTCCTTCCCGTTCTCACCCTTGATGAGGTCGAGACACTTGACATCTACCGAATCTTCGGAAAGGGTGAACCACAAGTGCTGTCCAACCGGGATACTGGTGACGTTCTTGGCGATGTCTCCTTCATTTGCAGCTTGTCCGCCAACAGCCGATATGGCCAGTATTTCAGGGTTCGCATGTGTCCGCAGACAGCATCGTTGATCGGCGCAGGTGTCTCAGCGGGGTTCCTGAAGTGCAGTAAGTCAGTGGGTGTGACAGCCATTTAATTTACCTGTCCTGTCGCGCCAATGCACATCCTACACATGTCACTTGGGCCGCGTGATCAGCATCACCGTCCAGGCACGCAGGGCTCCGGCGCAGAGTACGAGTCCAAGTTCATCACTCACTGGAAAGTCAATGTGCCTTGCCTAATCTCGGCGACAGAAATTCAGCAGTGCATTCGTGGATTCATGCTGCCGGCTGAATCACGTAGTGCTTCATGCCTAGATTGATTCCTGGACGAAAAGACACCATCATTTCAGCTCCCATGGTGACTTTCCATGGTCCTGGTTTTCTGTTGTCTGACTTAATTAATGAGATGAGACCCCAGCTTTCAACAAGAAGTGATCTCAAGCTGTATGACACCATCGAACCTCTGGTGTGGCTTGGCGGACCGTCTACGGTTTGGATTCTGGTTGCCTGCTCCAATCAAGCCCGTGTAAAAGGGGTTGCCTGGTGCATTACCGGGGTCACTCAACAAGCCGAAATACCCAACCCTAGGTAGCTTTCATTATCTGTCCATCCTTCCAGCGGAAAGATCGAACTCAAGGGAATTCGCGCTCCAGGAATGGGTGATGCCAGGCTACTGTGAGGTGCTTGTATCCTTCACTCGAATGCACTCTCAAGTTGATTCCTGGGCCCTGAGCACAGAGAGTTGCCCATGAGCCATGACCTGGGGATCAAACTATCCCAAAAGCCTTATATAGTATGGTCTTTGGGCCCAAAAGCCTCAAAATATGGGTCCTGAGAGCCCCTAGGGTGGGAACTTCAGCCCCCGAGTTGTGGCTCTGAGGTTAGCAAGGCTTTCGGCCAGCTCCGTCCTCGGTGCTCAACATTTTCTGCAGCGTCGCCATACGGTTTCCGAAAATTCGGGGGGGTACCTTATTTTGGGGCCCTTATAGTAGGGATCCTACTTTTTAGGGGTACTGTATGAGGGCCCCCCTATTTTCGGAAACTCCCAGATTCCAAGACAACCATCGAATTCCGAATGTTCAGAATGGAGTTCAAGGTACGCACTCTGCAACTTCAATGGTACCGCCAACGTCTGCATTGGACAAGGCAGGCGCAGCAGCTGCAGTAGTAGCAGCAGCATCTAGTAACTAGTACCAGCAGCAGGGGTAATTGTAGCAGAGGTAGTGGACGCCGGTGTAGTCGTCGTATGTTCATTCGTTGGGGTGGTGGCTGTAGTGGTACTGACTGTGGTAGCGATTTTGGTAGTACACTGCTACTCGACGTCGTCGCGTGCTGGCTGTGGCAGTGATACTAGCCCTATCGCTTTTGCGAATGCAAGACATCATATCTACAAAGAGCACAGCATATTACTTTGACATGAGGCTTCGGCTTAAGTGCTATAGATTCTATAGATTTCTTCCTGAGAACCCAGCGGCCGGCCGGTTCTCCCCGGTCCAGCAGTGAACTTCCAGGACCACGTCTGACCCACCCGATTCGCACATGTTGCGCTCACCTTAACAGCCATCTGCGACCTCCCGATAAGGTTTCTGTTCAACCCCCACCCCCAACCAACGAACGCCAAGTGAAATGGTACGAAGCCTTAGGCCGCAAAAGGCCGCATGCTGAGGCTCTTAGGTCCACGTAACCAGCCCGGTGTGGATGAAGATGTACTTTTCAGCGGTGTTTCTGTCTCCCGAGTGTGGAGACCGAAGGGGGTTCATGATGAATGCGAGGCCTGACCTCAGGCTGTGCAAAGCCAGAGGTGGAAAACGACGAAGCTCCAACCACACAACAGGGACGCAGTCGGCCGACATGCAAAAACACCCGCTTACCATGTTTGGCTTAAGGGCTTGTCAAAAGAACACTGACTGGAATTTCGTCGTAGATCTGTTGTCGTGAGCTCTTTGTGGAGAGCTGACAGTCTAAGCCGAACTCCCGGCTTCCTTCGCCCCTACACTTTACACCACAGCTCTTTTCGAAATCCTGGGAATCATCGAAACCCTAAACCCTGTTTTATCGCTGCAGACCTTGCCAGGCTTTGTCCGAGTGTGAGAGGCCAAAAAACCTTAAGCCCTAAACCCTAAACTCCCCATTCATCCTCGCCCGTGGACATAGCTGCCAGCAACGCGAGAGGGAAAAGAACCCTAAACCGAGCAACCCTGGATCCTTTCCCCGGCTTTGCGAGGATCTCAGCTCAAGAGGGTCGGCCGGAGGGGCTCCCAAATTCAGGCCGGGATTGCAGTTAATATAGACAGAGGCCGAAATAATTAGAGTAGGGCTCCTTTAAAGAGGGGTTGCTATAAGGGATCTATAGGGGTACTATAATATAGGGCCCTAGATAATTACCAACACCATTTTGAGGGCTCCTTATAAAAATTACAGGAAAGTGGGCCCCAAAAACCTATTCTTGTTATTATGGCCCCTAAATTAGAGCAAAAGGCTGTCTTCGTGACCTTTGGTATCATCTATTGCAGGTCTAGGTCATCGTGGTTTTTCATTCTCAAGGTTGAATATTCTGCGTTGAGAACCCGGATGCAAAGTCGTTAGTCTTTCTGTGATTTCTGTGATGGTTTCAATTGTTGCAACTTCAACCCTAAACCGTAAACCCCTGCCCGAGTGTGAGCGCCGAACCCCTAAACCCTAAACCTCAACATACTTTAGTAAGCATGCATTGGTTTTGCGCGAATCGACTCCACAACCTCGAGCCTAAAGCGACAGCTCAGCCCAAATCCTCTAGTGCTGAGGCCGGCAAAGTTCTGTTTTGCGCGGTGAAAGACATGATGTATTTCTTAGAAGGGGACCCACCCTGTAATAGTGGTACAATAGGAATATCATAGGAACACAATAGGGCTCTAATATAATCCTTATAGTTACTATTACAGTGTGGGGGCAGCTTCTAATGTATTTCTCACTTGTACATGTGACGCCGGGCATGCATCAGAAACTATGTGGCAATGGACTCTCCGTGGCATTTCCTTTCCGAGTGTGTCTATGTCCTCATCGTTCTGCATCTCTCTATGTCTTTCCTGCTCGCTGTGTATCTGCATATATCTGTAGCCCAACAGGGAATACAGGGAGACACTGACAGATGTAGGTAGCCACCCCTGTGCTGAAACCCCTGCTCAGTCCGGCAAGAAAGCTATTGGCCAGCTGCTTGTCGTGCATTGATGCCGCCTTGCTGTTGATGATAAGCACAAATCTTGGTGTATCTTTCTGAACGCAGTTCTTGGCGAAAGATCAGGTTCTTTCGAATGCCTTGTGTGCAGTGTGTCCAGGACAAACTATCTTCTGAACATGTCTGAACCCCCATCAGCGCGGAAGCCCAAGGTGCGACCCCAACGTAGATGTGGGGAGCCAGTATAGCAGCTTGGCCGATGAGGGAACCCCATGAAGCCCATGAGTCGTGAGAGGTTCGAGGTTTGAGGTCTTGGACAGTCATCTTACCCTATCTGAAGTCGGCAGTTTCTGCTGCGGTTCCGACATGCTCCATTCCGGTCTGTGTTGCATCTGAGATGTTGGATGGTACCCAAGCACCTTCAAGGACGCCCAAGACCTTTATGAAGTCCAAATGCGGGACACGCTAAGAGCAGAGGTGTGAAGGCCTTTCATTGAAGTCCTTATGATCTGCTACCTTGATGGCCAAATGTCCAAAAAGAACTCCTGGCTAGCCCGAAGCTCCTTCGCCCACCACCCCCGAGCCCTGACTCCTAAGCCCAAAACCCGAAAGCCCTGAACCTTACACCGTTAGTGTGAGCGCCGAAACCGTTTAAATTAAGGCTTCCCGGAAGCGGGGCAATGCCCACCCAACGTCGTGCCGAGCGAAGCTAGTGGCTGCTACTGGGCCAACCCGAGGCAGGAGGGTCCAGGTGTAAAAGGGCGGGATGTTTGGGGTTTCGGGTTGAGGGCAGAGAGTGTAAGCTCTTGGCTTTTGAGGAGGTAAGAGTTGCATAGGCGCTGGCTGGGACCCCAGTCCGTGCTGAAAGGGGCAGTGAGTTACGTTTGACCAAATTTGAGCATGTCGAATTTATTCATTGGCGACCGAGTCGTGAAACTGGGGTTTGCAATCTTATCTCTATTGCAGATGTAGGCGTTGCTTGCACTTCGAGCTTGAGTTGAAAGCTGCCCGAAGTGGGGTTCGGGACCTAAACTGGCGACGTGGCACGTAAACATAGACACCGCCCAATGTCATGCACACGGATGCTTGTCTCGTCTGGAAGCGTCTAGCATCCCGCCTTGGACAGGCCCGTGCGTACCGTGGCCGCGAACTGCGCCACTCGGCTTCGTTCAGCACACCTGCCCAGGTACAGTATTGCATTCGCAAAACGAATTTGGACCGACCCTGAAGCTGCAGCATATCTGAATTGAGGGTGTGTCTGGGCGTTTACTGAAGCGCATAGAGGCCCCCGTCCCTGCACGAGTGTGTCAGTGTTCTTCGATGGCCGATCGCATGCACGAGATGCGAAGAGCGGGGCTTGGCTGTGTTTAGGGCAGTCTTGTATTATAACTACAGTATAATGGGCCCCAAAACCCTATTCTAATTATTAAGGCCCCTATAGTAATCGGATAGTAGAGGTCCTGGCAGCATTTCGATGTTAGTCGAAATCGTGGTGCTAGCCAGGATTTGGTCGTACATTTACAGTACTACATAGCCAGATGGCGCATTTTTATATTGCGAGAGTGTATCACTGACACCTCTGAGACCATTGCATTGAAACTCAAACGTCAACGAGTGTCACTACTTCACTATCTCTGTAGGAATTGCAGCGGCCCCTTTACTGGTCACTCAGCTCGGAAAGCACGGGCCGTTGATGGCTTGCGGTGTGTGTGGCCCCCTTCCCAATTGAAAGTGAACCCTTACTCAGCCAAGGTCATGCAGGACCGCAAGCTTCTGGAGGCGAGTAGCCTTGCGAGGATCTGAACACCCCCCGACTCTATCCGATTCTCGCTAACGAGTCCTGCAAGCCCTAGAACCAGGTACGCAACGCAACATAGTCTTCAGGTCTTGAGGTGAATTGAATCGTCTTTGTGCGCCTTGAAGTCTGACCGAGCGACTTGTGAGTTGTAAAGGGTCCAGACGGCGAGAGGCTGCCTTTGATCTAGCCTGCTGAGAACTCGGTAGCGTGCTGAAGCTCGGGCCGTCTTCGGTTAATCGACTTGCGAGCTGTGCCGGTTGCAGACCTGTGAATGCCCAATCCTTACCCGGCAAACCAAACAAGGAGTACGTTCTGTGAAAGGATGCAGGGAGGAAAGTCATAATATGTCTTTCACAGCCCAGGAGAAAGGTCGTCGAGTCCTCTGCCGAAACATCATGTTGCAGAAGCATTTCTTCTCCGCAGCAGCATGCGCGGCTAGTATGGTGATGGTAGGCTAATTTGCAGAAACCAAGGGGCCAATGTGTGTAAACAAACGGCTACGCATCTTGCACGCACCGTCTTACCTTGTTCGAAGTTGCGAACAACTGGGAGCTTGTGCCAACCTCAAATTGCGAACTGCACGGCGATGTGATCGTGAACCCTGAAGCCAATTTGGGACCCTTCATGCCTGCTACAGTTAAAGCCAAAGTTATCAGCCCTAAACGATGTGCAGGTCTGCAAGACGGAGTTCGGTCATGCTCCATTCACCCAGTCCGTTCCTAGATTTGCAGAGAAGTGGTTCCGCCACACTATCGCACAACCCGGAACTCTAATGGCCCGAGGCCCTTCGCAATGACCTTCATAAGAATCCTTATACCACAGCGGCTATGAGCACGACACTGAAGGACCTGCCGCCTGCGGGATTTAATTGCAGATGGGCATAGATCAAGAAAGCATCCATGAGTTCGGCATGGAACACTCCTTTTCAAGGAAGTTGGCAAGTCCTGTGACGGTCTTAGTTCACTCCCCCAGGCACAGCAGCGTTATCAGAGAGTGCTCTCAAGCAACCCCGTCCGGACGAGACACAACACTAGACTCCCGCTGGTTCCGAGATCCTGCAGTCCGCTGTGCGGGTTTGTTGCAGTGGCGATTGACATGGTGATCATGACGTTTTCTGTGGCTGCGGGTGGGCGTGAGGATGAGGTGATGGCGAGGGCTGTGATAGTGATGATGGAGATAAGCTGTCAGATACATGCATGTCCTCGATGGTGAGGCCAGAGTGCTGTACGTCGTGATGACGACAGTATTGATGATACTGTTGATGTTGCTGTTCCTGTTGGCGGTGGTGGTGCTGGTGGTGGTGGTGGTGCTGCTGCTGCTGCTGTTCGTGTTCTTCTTGATTGTGTTAATTATTGTTATCGTTGCCGTTGTTGTTCTGTTTGATGTTCTGACTGTTTCGGTGCTTTGGTTCCTTACATGTGTGTTTGTCGGTGTCGCAGATGCTGATGCTCATGGGGATGACTGACTTAAGGAGATTGTGGATGAGGGAGACAACGACAAGCACTGCACGATCATCATCATGTCAGTTTTGGAATAGTTGGTGGCCGCAGTGGAGATGGAGTTGTCGTGAGTGTCGTCGGTGGCACATGAAGGATTATCATGTCGTCACCAGTAGCCTAGTGGCTTGGAGGAAGTCCCATGAACATATACCTCAAGTTGTTTGTTTATAGACCTCTTTGCTAAGTCCCCTGATCCACTGAGTAGGCACCACTAGTGACTAATGTAGGGGCCTCGATTTATAATTACCTAAATTATTTGGGGGATTCCTTATTGTAATTGTAGTATCAAGGGTCCCCAAAACCCGATTCTAATTATTAAGGCCCCTGCATAATAGTATCCTTTTTGATCCCTTATAGTAACCCGTATAGACCCCTTTAAAGGAACCCTATGCTAATTATTTATGGCCCCTATATCAGCCAGTGAGATCAGGCTGCAATCTTCAAAGATGCCCTCGCCTCCGCGGACTTGACCAAAGGTGCCTGGAGACCCCAAAGAACTTACCTGGACCAATGGCTAGAATACGGGTTTGGGGTCCATTGTACCATAACTATAAAAGGGAACCCCCCGCAATTATATGGGTATACCCCGCAATTATATGGGTATAACTAGGTCACACGCGCACGAGGCGCCGTGTGACTTTAGAGGGTTAAAATTAGCATATTCCTCGGGTTTTTGTACGATTTCTAAGAAAAAGTGGTTGTTGAGCAAAAGCTAAAACTATTTATTTTTATGTAGACATGTCTGCGTTAGTGGGTTGTTTGGAAAGGATCATGTTACTCCCTATGCTTCGGGGCAAGTTGTACTTAGGAGTATACTTCTTATGGCTTCTGTGCAAATTACAGTCAGGAGTAGTAAGCAAGGGGCTGTAGCCAATACTTAGCATGTTCATCTTACTTCTGATGGCTTCTGTGCAAATTACATTTAGGACTAGTAAGCAAGGGGCTGTAGGCAATACTTAGTATGATCATGTTACTTCTTACGGCTTCTGTGCAAATTACAGTCAGGAGTAGTAAGCAAGGGGCTGTAGCCAATACTTAGCATGTTTATCTTACTATGTATGAACCCCGTGGGTACTATGCAGAACATTTGGACGAGCACGCAGCAAGGACGATCTGACATCCATCTCCTATTGAGTCTTGCGACGTGACCACACAGACTTCACGCACCAGCTCGGTCGACATGCGCGCACGTGTCAGCAAGGAGCTGTAACAGGATGCAAGCCAAGGGACGTTATCCCCCCCCCCCCCCCCCACCCCCCCTCCCCCGAAACCCAGCCTCCCCTCCCCCCCCCGAAACCCCTGAAGTTGAGGAAAACGCTGCCTAAACCCACGGCGCCTGGTGCGCGTGTCACCAACTATTTAGACCCCAAATAGCCTACCTGTTTAGGGTTAAAGTTACCTAATATGATTTCTTTATGCAAGTCCTCAAAAGGGAAGTTGATTTCTTCATATAAGATCGTAGAAGGGTAGGTTACTTGGGGTTAAGGTCGACCCTAAACTCGCCTGGCGAGTCCGAGTTGCGAGAGCGTAAACACCAGAACCCCAGACTGAACCCTAAGGATAAGAAGAGATAAGAGCATCTTATGGAATAGTTATGAGCATCTTATGGGATAGTTATTACGAGGACTCTAAGTCTAAGGGCGGCTTGTGATTCATTATTCCGATTCCGATTTTAGCGCGCGCGACCTCGGGCTTGACATGGCAGTGAAACAGAGCCATCCAGTGGGCTTGCGGTTTAGGGTTTGGCATCGATTGAGCAGGTTTTGCTGTGCTACCGGAAAAACCCTTGAGGTGTTTCAGGTCAGTCTTGCAGTTCCAGGGTGCCGAGTCGAGTGTCAATTGGGAGGGTCCTGGTCATCTGTGGTTTGCCCGAAATTGAACATACTAAAGTCCAACTCAACACCCGGAAACCAAGGCGGATGTCCGGATGTGCCGATTGCAACGATCGTTGTCTGAGCTGTCGGCGGCCGCAGTGCAAGTGGCTTGCTGCAAGCGTCCGTCCCTTAGTGCTAGCTAGCTGTGCAGCACGGCAGGACGCACAGGAGATGTCACAAGTCACGGCAAACCCTCATCCGTTGCCAGCGTTCTGGACAGAGCTAAGCTGCAGCAGTCTCATGGGGCCAGGGTGAAGCAGGCCTGATTGCCTGCTTCGAACCGTCTCATGGTTTAGTTCCGAACCGGTTGGAGCTTATATAGTAGAGTATATGTAGAGTATGGTTGAAGAGACAAGCGGTTTAGGCCTATCTGACAGCTTTTGTCGCCCCGACTGTTGCAGACTGGCTAATCTGGCTCGAGGCTTCCTAGGATGCTTGGCCACGGAAGCCTCCAAGCTTTACTGGGTTCTTGTTACTGTAAGGAATTGCATTTAAGTGACCATACTAGCGATCTAGAGTACATAATTTGGTTTCTTCATTATGGTAACTTAAGTTAAATCCCATAACAAGAGCCCAGTTTAGTTCTTCTGGAGGAAGACTGTGCTGCGGTTTTCTTAACTCCCCAGACTCTAGATCCGAAACAACGGCACCCTAAACTCAATCATGCTTGCCCCTCATCATTACCCACCAAGTCTGCTGTAGTAAAATTTTGCTGGGCAGTGATGCAGCGATAGTGGTCCTCCACCAGGCAGGCTTGCTGCCAGGTTGGTTCTGCAGAAAAAGCCTCCCGACTGAGTGCGTCCCTAGATTGAGAGCTCCCAATACATGGCAAGAGCCAACAGCCAAATAGTGTCTGTGTTGAGTAGAGATCCAGGTTCTTCCCTTCGTAACCCGTTCTGCCCCTAATCCTCAAATCCTCAACAGAGACCTAGAAGCTCCCAAAGCTTAAACCCGAAGTTCAAAACAGGCAATAAAATTAGGGGCCTTAATAATCAGCATAGTGTTTTGGGGTATATTACCCCCCAAACCCTATTCCGAACATAAAGACCCCTACAGTAAAGGACATGGGAGCTCCCCTTTGCAGGACTGCACCATGCAGGGTCACACGACTGTGGACATCATCATGGCAGTGCTCCTCCTCTCCCCACGGTCCCTGGCTAAGGGGATCTCAGGTCAGACAGGCGTGCTACATGGGAGTTTCCGAAATTTTAGGGGTACCTTGTTTTGGGGGTCCTTATAATAAGGATCCTACTATGTAGTAGGGTGCTATATTAGGGTCCCCCCTATTTTCGGAAACTCCCGCATTATGCTGCTTACTTTGTGGCCCTTCCGAGTCTGCATCTGAGACAAGAGCCTTGCGTTGCGAAGTTTGCCGAGGCTTGTGCCTTCAGCCCGAATGATGCTCTTCAACTGGGTGCTTTGGCAGCCAGTGTGCAGTCTGAGATGCAGTTTCAGTGCTTGAGGGGAAGGTCTGAATGGCTTCCCCAATTTAGGGCCTGTGATGGTAAGGCAGCGATGGCTGTAGCTCCGTACCGGTAGCTCGAAAGACGTTTTCTGGCCGACTCAACCTTTGATGTTTACCTTGCTGGTCCAGTTGGGCACCTTTGTGCTGCTTATCCGGATTTCCTGGCCCAATGAATTGCAGCTTCTCTGCGCATTCCGTAGTTTCGGGACCTGGGTCGATCCTTTGCCTGACGGGAGATTATGAAACTAGGGATGAAGTGATGAAAGCGCTGACAAAGGCCGCGTGGTCACAAGGGTCAACCCAAACGTCCCCAGAGACAGCAGGTGCCCGAACCCTTGGAATCCGCGAAAAAAGCTGCATTGAAGCTAAGGAGTAGTAGAGGATATCATGCTTCTTGACGCCTGCGAGGCCTACATCATTGTCTATGCCGTCATATCCTTTGGCTGCTGTGATGGTTTCAGCAGGGGTGTATTGGTTGGCAATTTCGGATCCAGTTTCGGCAGTCCCATTACAGGGTTTGACCCTTCAACCAACCCAGAAAGCTTCGCGGCAGTTAAACATCCTTCCGGAATCCGCCACTACCCCAGTATAAGGGAGTAGACTATACTGTGCTGGACTATACTTAAAATAATATTCTGCCATGTGCTATGACTATACTATAGAAATAGCATCTGGGTTTGTCCCGTCTCTGTTTCCGAAGGCTACAGCGCTCCCTGGGTCGAGTCGGAGCATCGGTGGGGCCCCAAAGCAGCCCCGTCAAAGGGGCTCAGGGGCTTAGGGTCCATGGTTTGGGAGTTTCCGAAAATTGGGGACCCCAAAATAGTACCCTAAATAGTAGGATCCTTATTATAGGGACCCCCAAATAAGGTACCCCTACTTTCGGAAACCCCCGTTTAGGGTTGGGGAAGGACACTTGGCAGAAATCTGACTTGCCCAGCCGACTCCCCAAGGCCGGATGCAAAAAAGGATTGGGGAAGGGACATCCAGGCGTGCATATACAAGTCTGTGCAAAAGGGTTGGCTGTTCCGGGCGAGAGAAGCCTGCTGCAAAAGGGTTGGGGAAGGGGCGCAGGGGAGGGCTGTTGAAGCTTTATCGAAGATTGGGAGCATCGCTAAAGCCGAGCCCGTTGCGCTTGGTCACAATTTGCTATGGTGGTTTCTTACATCAAATCCGGCCGCTTGTGGGTGCCGAAACTGGAAGCCTGAACTCCGGCCCCAGGCCTCTCTCCTACCACAAGACGGACATGCTCGTGACGGTGGTGGCCTTAGAGTATTGTCGAGCTGTGCAGGTTGCGCAACTCTGCGAAACGACCAACATGTAGAACAAGCTTCTGCCTGGAGAACTTGAAGCTTTCTTGGTCACGCCTTGAACAAAACCTGAAAGACCGATCCGATTGCAGGGATCGAATGCTCGGGAAGAAGGTGACAAAACGAAGCGGTAGGGCTAGCAGTTAGCCGTTGAGAGCGGTGATGGCAGTGTTCAGAGGCTGATCCAGGCCTTGAGGGAGCTATGTGACGTTGGGGATTTCATTTCGAGCCAAAGGCGATCCAGCCCAGCTTTTTCGATTCTTGGTTGCCCCACCCTCTTACCTTTGGTGAGTAGGCAATGGAAGACTGGTAGTAATAGTAGTTGTACTTGTACCCCATTCCTCCATTCCCTTCGGACATGTTTTGAAGGGGGGGGAAAGTGTAAGATTACAGAATACTCTGGCCTGAATTTTCGATCATATGCAACCATGGCTATCTAGTATGTAATCTAGTATTACTGAAAACGGTTCCCGGCACCACTGGCATCCGCAGACTCGTGCGATTGCTATAACCAGAGCAGTGTTTCCATTCCTGCCTGGTACTGCATCGTTCGATTATGCCAACAACTGCGTAGATGCATACAGTTGTCAGAACCGGCATCGGAAACGGCATCGGTGTTAATAGCTAACCATCATGGTCCTTAAGAAGGACACTGTCAACAGACATGCAACGACGAGCGCTCTCATGACTGTAGATCAACCTGACACGTCTTCGTCCATGGGGTGCTTACAGTATCTTCCCTGACTGCTTTCAACATTGGGCACTCGCGGAGTCGGTGGATGGGAATCTGCAGGAAGGCTTTGTTCTGATTGGGTCCTCTCTGCCAAGGTGGCGCTGCGGGGTCGGAAGGGCTTACCTTGGGTTAGCCATGATGCGTTGTGCCTGGAGGTTGGCATTCTGTGCTTCGTTTCTTTGGTCGCAGACCGCCGCAAGCTGGGCCCTCAGCACGCTCTCTTCCAGTGCTCGTCTCAAGGGATTCAGGTTCAACAAGACCCAGGGTCTGGGGAAAAGGTTCCATGGCAAGCTTGATTATCTGTTATATGCGGCTATCTGTATTTTTGTTGATACAGGAGTTGCTGAATTTGTAATTCGCGAGTTTGCAGCGTCATTTTACTCCAAACACCCCGCTGGAACTTGTGCACAAAAAGTCGGCTTGGACCCATCCGGGCTGATCGTGATTGTTTGGTCAGCTTGTGCTGATGTCAGCTTTTTTCGCTTGTTGGTTGCGGGTGTGGCGGTTGTGGTTGTGTTGCTGTCGCCAGTGTTCATGTGACCGAGGCTGTTGCTGCGTTTGAAATTTCCCTTCCTGTGACAACATGGCTGCCTGTATTTCTGGTGCTTGATTGTTGGTTGTGTGAGCTGGTGGTCTTTTTTGTTTGCGGTGATTGAAGACTCTCCTTCTAGGCTGTATGCAATGTTGATCAATGTTGGTAATGTTGTCGTCGAGAAAACCGGCGAGTATATTTGGGGCTGCCTCGGTTTTAGGCAAGTGTGCCGTCACTCCGACTGGCGAGTTCGTCTTGTTAACAGCGGCCGCTGACAGTTCAAAACTCAGGTCTATGACCGTAAGTTTGCACGCGCATCGACATCCTGCAGAACAGCCGTCATCAATAAGGCAGTTAATTACTCTTATCCCTCGATCTGTCTCAGCTCAGGTTCTTCATTGAGAAAGGTCAGCGGTCGAAGTTCTTTTTCGACCAGGAGCAGCCGCGATCTCGGAGCTAGGACTTCTCCCGCGAGCATGCGCACGCGTGGGCGTGTGCCTAAAAGCATCTCAGTCTGTCCTTGTGCTCTAACCTCTTCGTCTCAGTGAGCTCAGGCAGGAGTCCAGCAAGAAGATCTTTTGCATCTTGTGCGAGATGGCCACCTGGCTGCCTGCGGCACTGGGCAAGACCTGATTTTGCCGGACGGGGCCAGGTCCAGATAACGCCTGAGAGCGCCTGAGACACCTCCCAGGTTCCCGAACATGTCATCCTGCCGATGCTCAAGAGCCGGAGCCCTATGCACCGGCGACTGAGAGACGCGGTTTAGGGGTGAAGGGTACGGAGACATGGCACCAAGACCCGGGCGCGATCGTCGCTGAACACAAAGACACTGTGCCGGGTCCTTGGTTTTCGATGGCCGGCTCCTGTCACCGAAGGACCGACAGCATATTGATTGTATATGATGTACTTGTAGCAATGTGCCATAAGTTAATATGCACGATATGTCAGTACAATATAATACAATAAGGTGCAGTATCGCATCATGCAATGTATTGTGGTAGAATTACATACTGCAATATTGAATCGCGTCTGCAACGTGTCCCAACTCTGTCCGCAGTTGTGCAGTTTGCGCCGACGACAAGGTCTATTCTTTTCGTGATGATCGAGAACTTCGATGAGCAGGCCTCTTAAGAATAGTCGTGACCGAAGTGTATTCTGTGCTGACACTGGCCCTCTCGCATATACAATACTATCTTTCTCTGTGTCTGAAGAGTTCGAGTATGATAGAGTGTGGAGAAACAAGCAGCGAGAGCGATGATTGTCGTTGCGCCTCGTCGAAAATCACCAAGCTGGAGGGGGCTGGAAACAAAAGAAAAGGGAGAGGAGCAAGATCAAGCAAACAGTACTACAGAGGCCGGGCATGCAAGGAGACCGAGAGAGGCAGATAGCGAGAGCTAGCTTTTGACATTTCTGGCCCAAGAGACAGCGAGCGACAGTGACTGAGACTGTGTGCGTACGCGCGTCTCTGTGTGTGTGTGTGTGTGCTTCTGTGTGTTTGTTTGTGTTTGTGTGTCTGTGTGCGCGCGTGCGCGTCGGTGTCGATTGCGTTTGCATGTCGGGGGAGCCTTCTCCGTCAAGCCTGAAGAAGGACGTGACGAAGGATGTGTCAGAGCGATTGCCCCGCCAGTTGGAGGTTTGAGCTCTGGATGCAAGGTTTCAGAATCCGAAAAAGCCAGAGACACTGAATTCCAAACTGCCCGGGGTTTTTGAGATTCTCGACTGAAGGCTGCGAAGCAACATGCCTCGCACGCCACTCATGTTTTGACCGTTGACCAAAGAGGCGCGAATCCTTGGCCCGGAGAACCTCATCAAGTTCCTCAACAATCAGCACGGAGCCTCGGGGTCGTGGGGGTTTCCGGGTACAAGTGGAACGCGCATTGAAACGCTTGTTGGGTGCTTGGTGGGTTGTCATCGTGGCTCCTTGGTGCAAGTTGCGACCAGGTACAGGAACAACAGCCAGTTGCTTCTGTTTGGCGTGACAGAAGAAGGAACAACTATTGCCTGCGATATGAGCAATCACGCCTGAAGGGCTTTGTTTGGTTGACGTGAAGCTACGTTTGGGAGGCTCAGGAGGTATGAACGGAAGTGCCCAAAGCGAGGCCCAGCTAGCTGCACCCGGCCTGTATTCGGGATGTCGCCGAAGTGCAAAGTGTTCAAGCCCTCGAACGGGGAAGGTCCAGCTGCACGCCGCTACGGCCCCTGCTAACAAAGTCTCGGTACATTGAGCATGCGAGGCCACCAAGCAAGCCCAAGCACGTCAACCAAAGCTCTATAAGATTTCGCGTCTTTATCCTCAAAGCCGGGCCTGATAGATTTAAGCTCGTGCTAATTGGAACGAAGACGCTCCCAAAGGTTCACTATGATGGACGTCATCTGCTCGAACCACCAGGCGTTCTGATTCGAATGAACGCAGGGGTGCTGGATGTAGGGCTTGTATGGGCTCGTCGTGTACGGGTTTGCTTGGAACTGTGTCAATGGCAGGTCACGAAGATCGAGACAGTTGGTGAAGAATACGTGCCTGCTGCCTGGAAGTTCGTGAAGGGACTGCAAGGAACTTTAAGTGTGCTGGGTCATGCAGGGTCGGGGTTCTCGTGCAGATGTGTATACGTCTGCATGGACACGAGTCCACATACGCACGGGCGTAAACTCTTATTGATGCATGCACAAGTGCATTTGCGCTTGTTGTGTTCCATAGAAGGTCATACAAGCAAGTAGGCACGCTACCGGTAGCATGCAGACGAGCAAGTAAGTAAGTAAGAATGCATTGTATTCATGCGATATCTGTCTATATATATATATATATACATATATATATATATATATAGATGAATGAGTGCGAGTGCTAAAACGATATGTACACAAAGGACTACATAAATATTTTTACATGTACACATCTATGTGCGAGTACGCACGGAAGTGGTTTGTTCCGTGTGCACCAACACGCAGGTTTGGCATCCCGAAACCGTAAGCATCGATGAATGCAAGGTGTGCTGTGGGCGTCGTTCCGGAGGATGAAGTCGAGGCCTGGGACTGCACTGAAGCCCGAAGAGTCCCAGACACGGCTCATGCGGGTTTAGGGTTTAGGGTTTAGGGTTTACTGCTTTACTGTAGGGTTACGCATGCTCACTTTGACTCTGGTTGTCGCCGACTGCGAACCGTGAGACCTCATCGAGTTGTGAGATCGCAAGTGCAAATAAACCCTGAAAAGCACACCGCAAGCGATACACCCGAAACCTCGGGTCGGAGGAAGGGTCTGGGCCCCCTTTCGTTGTAGAAATTCTGAGACGGAGGCTCGCTGGGACTCAGTTGGCTACTGGTAGCTTTGCAAGACTTGGCTGTTGGATGATTGAGGGTTTAGGGCTCAGGGTTTAGATTAAACTTGCATATTTTGACAGGGGGGCTTTCCACAGCGAGTGGTCGCCGCAAGGATCTATCTCTTCAACTTGGCTGCTGATTGGAATCAGCAGTTCTTATCGTGTCATTTCGGGTTAGCTTCGTGCGTTCTGTGGCAAGCAAGGTCCGAACAGCAAAAACCCAGCCCATATCGTCACCAAGACGATGCCGGCATAGCAAGGGCATTTGCACGACAAGCCGGTACCCTTTGATTCAACCCTATTCCGGTGCCTCCTTCGTTAAGGGTACGGCCCTTCCTTTTGGAAGACCGACCTGGTACTCAGTCTATTTAAGTACAAAATCAGGAGCCAACAAGCCTTGACATCGCGAGACAGTAATTCCAGACATTAACAACAAGCAGAGTTTTTTCCTACATCCTAAACCGACTGAAAGTTCAGCTGGGCGGGTGGCAAAACACCGACTAAAAACTCGACCCTTGACTCATGTTCTATTCGAATGCAAAGGCTCCAAGAGCATGGCTTGCCTGTGCAGGCGCACTGCAGCGTCCTCGAGCGTCTTCTCAAGGCTGGGCGGTAGCAAGAGGATGGTCGATTTTGAGCAGGATGATGGAGAAATAATGGGGCAGGCGGGCTTTCTGCAATGAGACACAAGAGCGTGGAGCTCGAGATTCGGTACCGTAGTGGCTGAAAGGGCTACGAACGGATGTCAGGAGCTTCAGTTAGACTCCCCGGCGAAAGCCAGCATGAAGAGCGGCTGACGTGAACAATTTTCCTGGCGATGGTGCTTGTGCAGATCTCGCCAGTGTCGCAGGGCTTCTGTGGACAGGTCGTGCTGAGCATGCGCTGAGCTGTTTAGATTACAGTAGACGCCTAAAGGTTGGAATAGCCCCAATCCTTGAGAGTACTGAATAGGGAATCCCAGCACTATTTGGCCTTTATCCGGTGAATAACTTTATGGGGTTTACTGTAGCATGCGGAGCCGGTCCAGTGCTCGTTTACTCGGTTTCGTCGCCTTGTCGGAGTCGAAGAGATCCCCAAGCATCATGGGACTGAAGTTCGACAGCGCAGCAGTGCACGTCTCCACGCAACCGCAACGGCCTCTCCGCGGCGTTGTCTTGGAGCCCAGCCTGTTGACGCAGCGGGAGAGCACAGACATGGTTTTTCACGGGTCACTACGAGTTGGCGGCGTCGAGGGATGCATTCTTGTAGACTTGGCCTGGGAGTTCGGCTGCATTGCGCAAGCCTCGGCTTCACAAGCCCCCGGGTTGGGGAGGCACTGTCCTCCTCGATTCGATGTCTTGCGAAGTAGCTTGTGGCAGTGAAGACCGGGAACTCTAAACATTCTGTGGCTTTGCAGAAGCTGATGCAACTAAACGGGGGAAACCCATAAGGGAGACATTTTGTAGCAGTCTACCGGCACCTTCAGACACGAGCACCCACTCGAGACAAGATGCAGTCTTTGGCGCACCCTACCATGTTTTTTGGCCAGTCATGAAGAGAAAGGCATGCACGTTATCGAACGTTTCCTTCAGCAATCTCATCCAAACCAACACACATGCAAGTGCACTGTTTGCATGTATACCAGATGACTTGTTGTCAAACTCGCGTGTCCACACAGACACCCGCAGGCAGCAGCGGACATGCTCGCGAAGGCACGCTTGTGGGAATATCCCCTGCAGCCACCTAGTCATGCCATGAACTGTATGGAAGGGAGTAGTAGTAAAATGTAATATCTGCCAGATATTATACACCCCAAAGCCATCGCGCCAGGCAGAGGCAGCAGCAAGGCCAGCTTCGTAGTTGTGAGGGTTCCGAAGTTCAGTAGTCTCAGAGTGTTGGGAGAGGTGACTTGCAAGGTTTCACTGAGAAATGGTCTGCAGATTTTGCAACAAAAGCCTTGTCGCTTCCCACCCAACAGAAAGACATTGCATTGGATTTGCCGAATCTTCTTCCAGCCTCGATCTCACTCCCCAATTGGACCGGATGCCATGCTTCAGCGCTCTCAGACAGTTGCAAGGTTTGAACGTTTGCAGGACTGAGCAGTCGATGAACTCTTCACAGCCTGGCGCACAATCAGCTTCTGGATGCTGTAGCAACATGTAGGCTTTTCTGGCAGATGCTGGCACATTTCAGAAGAAACGCTGAGCATCCCAGGCCCTGCATAGAGCCTGCGGTCATAGAACACCCATCTTTGCCCGCCCAATGCTGCAACAGTCTGAGCTCACGGTCCTTCCAGTCTCAAAAGCAGCCGTCACCAACTTGCAGTGCAAAAGGCCATGCTAGAAGACCGCAGCTTTCGATGCAGCGTCAGCCGTAGGAAGCGACTGATCAGCCGCCCTGCACCCAAAAAGCCTGATCAACAAAACCGCCAAATTGTTCTGCAACCTGGAACTTCCTGTCTTCGAAGACTCCGAGAGATGTGCATCTCCTTAAAGGCACGAAGCGGAGCAAAGGATCCGAGAGGCGCGGCGGCCGGACCTGGGACAAAGCAGCAAAGCGACAAAAGAAGGACTACACACTGTGAGACAGTAAGGCCTGGCATAGGCAACGACGATGACAAACCCACCATCAACAACGCAACTAGGAGCAACCACCATGGCAGTCAGAACCGCCGTGACACGAACAGTGACTGTAACACAACAGCAGCAGCTAACAGCTCCACTCACCACGAAACACCCTCTACACCACGCCACGAAACACTCCACGATAAACGCACCACCACCACCACCACCACCACCACCACCACCACCACCACCACCACCACCACCACCACCACCACCGCTGCCTGTAGTGACTTGAAGGCTCAGGAGGTGAAAGGTAGGGTTATCATTGCTCCAAGTGAGGTTCATCCTGATTGCGACTCTACTTACAACCTAGTTGCATCACAAAGGCTCCATGGCACTTACATCCCAACTCTTTGAAGAACAGTGTGGACGGGGCCCCCCGCCGCAAGCGAGGCAGAGTTTGTATTCGTCTTTGGCTAAGAGTGCATATGGCTCCTTTAGCATATTGGTGTGTTGCAAACTTGCAGTGCCCTTTTGGGGATACTATGCAAAACCGAACCCCCGACCTCCAAACCCTAATTCCCTGCAGCGACAATTCGAACCCTGAACTCGACTTCAAATCTCAACGAGGATGGCCCCGGTGCTGGAGGCCTGCATGTTTGGGTCTGGGACGGGGAGGAGGGTGACCACTTCTTCAAGGCCGACCTTTGGGGCCTGCGGTGCGGATTTCTCGATGCGATTTCCTCCGACTTGTGGGTTGTGCCTCCATTGTGTGGCTCGTTTCGGGCTTTGCAGAATCAGAGGTTTAAGGTTGAGGCAGTCTGTTTGCAGCCGCCTTTTTCCAACAGCCGCTTCGCGTCTGCGAAGCTGCCTTGTGTTGAATCCCCGAGACATCTGGGCCAGTCGCAGAAGCGGTTGGGAAGAAATCCCCCCAAGCCCTCTAAAAAAGCCACTGCAGCAGCTTAGGCGTGGAGAAGCCCAAGAAGCCTGTGAAAGCCGACCCCGAAAGGTAGAGACGCCAACGACAAGCTGCAAGACGACGATCAGGAGACCACTCCAGGGTCCAAGATTTTAGATTTAGGGGATTACAGTAAGGGTTGAAAGCCTCCTATAGCCCTAACCCCTACAGGCCCTAAACCGTAAGTCACGGGGTTTAGGGTTGAGGATGTTAGGCTTGGAGGCTCAAAGGGCTCAGTGCTTTCGTGTACTGGGCGGAAGGTGGATTTGGTGTTTCCTTTGTGTCGACGAGGGCTTCCGTCCACCGTTGAACAACATGAGCCGGAGTGAGTGGTTCAGCAGAACTACAGAACGTTGAATGCACCTTCAGTGTGACTGTTCTGTCCTCGCTTCTCAGAGTTCGCCCGCGGACAGAAAGCCCAGCTGATCTTGCAGCGAAATGCATACCGCATGCACAGTCACCTTGACGACCACTACAGGTGCTCATGGCACTGGCGAATTCGGTGACAAATGCTTTGCACTGATGTTCCTCACACCTCGTGCAACATCCCCCCGACCCGTGGACTAGACCCGACATCCAACCCAATCCTACGGCTTTGATGTCAAGCTCGATGACCGGAGCAAATTTTGCATTTTGGTGGGCGATCTAGTGTGTTGTGCTGGATGGCTTTACTACATGGGCCGGAGCCTCACGCGGAGCCACCGAACCCGGGAGAACATTGCAGGACTGAATTAGGAGCGGAAGATGGTCGGGGCAGTTTCTACATGCAGCTCTCGCCTGTCTGATGTTTGTGTATAAAGCACATTTATATGTGTAGATACACACACACACACATATATATATATATATGTATATATACATATATACATATATATATATATGTGTGTGTGTATGTATGTATGTATGTATGTATGGATGCACTTAGTTTCTATGCAGGGAAACGACGCTGAGAAGCGACTTTAGCTGCCGGAAACAAGGCGGAGCTGTTCGGGCTCTAACTACATGGACTGGTGTAGCGTGAACTGTGCAAATACATGCCTGCATACACACACATATATCTCTCTCTCTATATATATATATATGTATATGGACAGGCACAGCAGACCATACATATTCCGACATTCTTTACACCTCAAATGGAGTGGTCCGTCCTCCTCGCAGGTTCGAAAGTCAGAGTCCCTCGTTACGCTGAAGCTGGGCATGCACACCGGCCCAGTTGTCGCAGGCGAGACGTTGGGCCGAACTTTCGTCACGTTTCTGCTGTTTTAGATTCATTCGCGGCTTTCATGTTTGTGTTCAGTCGGGTTGCTCGACTCGGTGCTTCACCCTCCTACAAAAGGGAGCTCAAGCAAGGATCTTAGTTCAGAGATGGCTTGACATGAACTGTACTCGTAGATCCAAAAAGGAGCAGATGCCAAGGACCTTAGTTCAGAGATGGCTGGCCACATAGCTACATGAGTTGTACTCTGTGCCAGAGTGCGAGGGCCGAAACTCTTAGATCCTAAAAGGAGCAGATGCCAAGGTCTTGGAAGAGTTCAGGCCTGAATGCATCCCAGCTCCTGTTTCCCGACATGGGGGCATCATGGGCATCTCAAGTGCCTTCCAAGTTTATAAATTCGAGGTCTCTCATTCAGCAGCTAGATCGCGAAGCGACGATGTCAGAGCTGTTCACGTCCTTGGGCCGGGTTTTATTTATGAGCCCTGACCTTCGAGGCGTCATTGGCCAGAAGCTGCCGCGCTTCCGCCTCTTTGGCGACACGGTGCGCCAACAACTGCTGAACCCCAAGCTTGCACCCTAAACCCTAACCGTTCGCCCTAAAACGAAGCTGTGGACGGGCATGCAGCAGGTTTGAGGGGATCGCAGCTGCAGCCCTCGATGGTTTTTCCATCACAAGCAGTCTTTGGTGAAAGAAGTACCCCTGCATGGGAAGCACCCTCAGTTGAGTGGCATGTGCATCGCAGTTTTTGCTTGCCCTGACCGGGCCTGCGCTAAAATCGCAGCACACAAACCAGTCAAGGACAAGCAAAGTCGATCGCTACCTCAGAAAAGCTGGAATTGAAAACCACATCTCCGCACAGGTGAACACAGCAGCCCGCATGATGCAGAAGGGCGAA